AATTGTAAACATGGCAGACTGAAGTTCACAAATTTCTAGTCATGTTTGCTAATTGCAGTTATGACAGTCACATAATGTCAATTGGGGTGGTGGGGTAGTCTGATGGTTGAAGCATCAGCTCGTCACACCAAAGACCCAGGTTCGATTCCCCACATGGGTACAATGTGTGAAGCCCATTTCTGGTGTCCCCTGCTGTGATATTGCTGGAATGTTGCTAAAAGCGGCGTAAAACTAAACTCACTCACTCACTGAAGCCCATTTCTGGTGTCCTCCGTCGTAAAACCACTCACTCACTCACTCTAATTTCAGTTTTGAAAATATTATTTCTGTCTTTCCTCATGCTGTGAAAACTGATTGTTATGAAACCAGTTGTGTCAAGATAACACAGTTTATAAGTTTCCAGTCTCATCATGGTTACCATGCAACTGCTGATTTGTCCTTTCAGACATTGAAAATAGTGTCCTTTGTTATTAGCACAGAATGTCTGTTTTGTTGGGGTGATCAGCTAGTTTGAATTATATATATTTTAGATGATCAGCAGAAAACTCAAAGAGTAACCTCGCGTAATCAATATTGTAAACCAAAAGTCACTGTGTTCTTTAATCTGATTGGTTTAAAAACGTGATCAAATGGTATTCGATTCCCGGAAATTTGCAGCATATTAATACATACAAACATTGCTCACACCATTGTATTGTTACGTCGTCAGCTGTGATGACGTCATTAAAATCATATTGTGACGTAAAGTCCGAATGACGTCACAAATGAGCAGTTCCAGATGCTACCATAGGAGACAGCCGAAACGGCCGGCTGATGACATTTCACTGCTGTACCCGTACTCGATGTCAATGAGTGCAGACACAAAAACGTGTGTGGACATTTTTGTTTACTTTTGTGTTTACAATGTCGATAAACATCATGTGTTGGCCAATTTCTGGTGATGCCGGAGGTTTCAAATGAAATATTCCCGTGCTTCAAATACTCAATAACACCCGGAAATTGGCCAACACATGATGTTTGTCTCCTAATTCGCGCACCTAACACGTTTCGGCGCAGTATGCGGAATTAAAAAGGCACGTGGATATCAACAATTATACAAACCTTTATCAATATAAAATGTTTATAAGAACAAGTTTCAGCCTTTGACACTTTGATATCGTAGCGGTACGAAGCCATCATGCACACAACAGTATCAAGGTCAGTTGTAAGCTACGTCATCAATATTTGTGGTAGCTAAAATCCAGACAAACAGCATTGTGAATAGTTAACGTCAGCAGCTGACAACGATGTAACATTGAAGTTCATGTCTCACAATCCTGAGAAGAAAGTTTTTGTCAAGAAATGTTCAGAATTTGTCTACTATCTTAATAAACAAACCGCTCTTAAACAAGCAAAAGTTCCTGTAATCTTGAATCAAAGTTAAAAAAACATTCTTCATCACTTTGGAGATATTTACTAAACAAACACAAGCATAGTTTCGTAATTCATTAATTATAACTATTTGATTTCATCTTATAAAGTCATCATATTTGCTTTTACTTGGTAACTTTTCATGAAAATGTGTTGTATAGTTATAAGGATTGTGTCTGAAATGGGTTTCCATAGTTATTTTCTTCACATTGGCTACGATCAAAGTTACAAATTCTTAGGGCTATGCACGTTTCGAGAATTAGGGCCCAGGAAAGTATTAGTAGATTTGTTAGGCTTCTTACTATGGTTACCATCCATGATTTTCATATCTCCTGCCTGCATGTCTTTCAGAGCTTTCTATGGGTATAACTGTTGAGGAATATGTAATTGTTTGTTTGTTACATAACACACCACTCAGCACCATTCCAGCTGTATGATGTGGCCTGTAAATAGTGGTGTCTGGACCAGACAATCCAGTGTTAGACATTGCAATAGATTGAGATACATTGAGTGATTGACATGCATCAACCAAGACCTCCAACCTTACCACTCAATCCATTTAGTTGCATCTTGAGGAAAAAGCTTATACCCAAAAGGCTATAATTATAATGTGTGTGCAAAGATAATTATCATGATTATGTAGACCTAAATTATTAGCTACAGCTTTCATTAAAGCAATTTCTGTACACTTTGTACGTAATGTACATTTTTATTACTTCAGTAGCCATTGAAATGCTACTAAATAGAAACTAAGGGACAGATTAACTGTAGTCATGTGACAAAAATGAGGTGTTCTTTAAGTTCTAGTTCTTTTGAGTACCCTGATAGTATATTTCCATTCTGTTTTATGATGTTTTCCTAAAGACATTACAAATGAAGGACTTGAGACGGACATGAGCCAGTGCTTACTACTGTGAAACAACACTGTGGCATATTAGCAATGAACACTGTGATGGTAATTTAGAGTTAACCCTTTGAGAATTAACAATGGATCTGTTAACCACATTAGCATGATGAAAGTTGCAAAGGGTGTCAAAATATGGTAATTGGAAGATACTCAAAATTAGAAATGGTCCCCATTGTCTTGTGTTTGTCATGAGGGGCAAGTAACAGGATTAGGAGGTCAGGACTGTCGTGGTTTATACATGCCATTGCATCCCAGTTATGTAACTTGGTTCTCATGATGTCATGATTACAGGAGTGTCTAGGGGTGAAACGTTAAACCGCGGTATTAGTAGAGTTCGGTATACCGTAATGGAATCCAAAAATTCGGTATTCGGTATTTTCTCGGAAGTATGTTCTCACATACCGAACCGAAACGGACCGAACCAAAGGCCTTGTACCGCAATGCGTACCATACTGTGGTAAGAGCGTACCGTTTCACCCCTAGGACGGTCTGCTGAAGATCTGATTATATATAGAAAGCTGTCATATACCTGGAATAGTGCTGAAAGCAGTGTCACGCAACAAACAGTAAACCAAACATAAGAGCAAACAGGAACATGGATCACATGGTCACGCTGTGTGCGAGTCAATGGGTGTTGATCATTCTATCAAGCACAATGTTGCTATTATGTTAGGCTCAGGCTGATTATTTACAGGTCACTGTGGTATAGCTGGAATATTGCTAACAGCGGCTTGCAACACATACAAATTATCTAGAAATCAAGTATGGCATTATACATAATAATAATAATGTGGGTATTTATATAGCGCTACATCCAGGTACTAATACCCGCTCATGGCGCTACAATACTATAGGAGAAAGAAAAATAGTTAAAACTATTTACAGAGAGACAATTGAACATAGAAAGTCTAGTAATAGGCAAGACGAAAAAAGTGGGTTTTTAGAGACGATATAAATGTGTCCAAGATTCAGCATTCTTGATGTGAGTGGGTAAGTTGTTCCAGAGACTGGCGGCTGCGTGTTGGAATGATCTTTTCCCATAGGATGAGAGTCGAACTTTAGGAATGACAAGTAGCTGGTGATTCTGGGATCGTAATGGTCGGGTTGGGTGTACTGACACAAAATACTGGAGAGGTATTCAGGTGTTTGTCCATGTAGAGCTTTGAAAGTGATAAATAGAATTTTGAAGTCAAACCGGAATTTGACAGGCAACCAGTGTAGAGACATCAGTGAAGGTCTGATATGATCTTTCTTTGACTTGAGGCAGACGATGCGAGCTGCTGAGTTCTGTAATTTTTGAAGTTTGTTGAGGTGAACTGATGTTATATACATGTTATGTACGATCATCATTTCCCCGCTGATTATGTGCATAGTGCCCTGCAAGACCATTACAAGTGGTAATAACAGGCAGTATTGTACAACCCATGGTTAATCAATACAGTCCATGTTAATATCCTGTATTGTGTCGGTTATATCATGGTGTGAAGCTCCCAGCAAGCCTGAACATGGTGGTGCATTGAGATAAGGCTTACTCCAGCAACTGGTGGTGCCCCCATTGTCGTGTGTGTTATTGCTGTATATATACCATGGTATATTGTATGTTACCAGGGTGTGATGCTGTGCGTGTATTATGTAGAATAGTGCTGTGAATGGCGTTTTTTTAACCGGCTGCGGATAATTGAAAATATTTCATTATAATTAAATCAGCATCTGGTTGAGTTTTTTGTTAATTATTTACATAAAGGGATATGTGTAAATTGACTTTTCAGTTGTCCATAGTTCGTGGTATTCAAATTTAATTTCCCATCTCATGATTGTAGGTTTCTCTTTCACATAGCCAACTAACAATAAGGATAGAAATTAATCTGCAAATCCAATAGCAACAATATACAGTCAGCTCTCGTTAATCCGACACTTATTAATCCGACAATCATGTTAATCCGACAAAAAATTAGGGAACCATTTAAAACTGTGATAATTACTCTCGTTAATCCGACATTCTCGCATTCCAACTCAATTCGACGCAGTACCAATCTAGCAACTGATTATTGTAAATACATTGTAAAACATGAGACAAACATATATGCTGACTTATATGTTAATCCGACAATCAACACAGCCGGTCGGATAATCCCATTGTATACAAACAATCACACGTGAGTGGTAATTAGCGTGTGCCTTACTGGCTGCTTGACACCGACGTTGGTGAACATCACACTTGTTAATTGTTATTTTCACAATTTCACAATGTTGTGATTTGGTCGCATGTAACATAGGTTTTTATCAACAGATCTTTACAGTGAGTGGACTCGAGTCTGCTCATATGTAGCCGTGACCTTGACTGTTGGGACACCTGTGTTCTCAAAGTCAAGGGTAGTCTCGTCCTGTGTTCTCAAAGTCAAGGGTAGTCTCGTCATCTAAGGTGCTGCAATTCGATGAGAAGAGTTAGGCACACCGAAAATCTATCATTGTAGGTTTGTTTCCCAGTTTGCCCTGAATACGTTTCTAGGTCAACACTATACCGTACCAAAATGGTAAATGCTTGAGATGTGCATCACGTCAGGCTCTCATCCTTCATGAAAGTGACAAGCTCAAATATGACTACAGTGGTTTCAAAAGTAGCATTAAACCCAGTTCACTCACTCATTAAGACAACTGTATTAGTTTGTGTGTTGTGTTGTAGAGAGAGCCACAGATGGATCCCAGGCTTCAGAGAACTGGGGACTGTTTATGGAAGTATGTGACATCATCAACGAGACAGATGAGGGGTAGGTATGACTTGTTAATGAAGGTGTACAATATGGTGTGGTCATGGTATGACACATTTCCTGATAGTGTGAGTCAGATAAGATTTGTTTCCTGATACAGTTGTTATGTTGACCACACAGTTTACTTTCTTTTTGTAGGTGAATCACAACCCTGTATTGTAGATTTTAATATAGTCGTACATCTACATAATGATATTCCGTCATACCGTCAGAATAATGTTTGTCCGTAATTCATTTTGTTTCTCATCTTTCTCCCCTTTCTGGAGAGCATAACTCACAAACTGTTCAATATTTTTCAACAAAACTTGGTAGATATATCAAACATAAGCTAAAGTGGTGCCTTTTGCTATTTACAGATATTTGGCACTTTTATTTTCCCGGTTTCCAATGCGATTCGGATTTAGTCTCAAAGGGACAGATGGCCTTCGTTTCCGGAGCACAACTCGAAAACCGATCAATATCTTTCTTCAAGACTTAGTAGATATATCAGACATAAGCTAAAGTGGTTCCTTTTGCTATTTACAGATTTTTGGCATTTTATATTTTCTTGGTGTCCATGGAAACGATTCAGGACTTAGTCTCAGAAAAGGGAGTGGTGGGCTATTTTCGTCTTCGAGAAACGATTCAGACACAACTCGAAAACTTCTTAATATCTTTCAGCAAAACTTGGCAGATATGTGAGGCAGATGCCAAAGTGGTGCCTTTTGCTATTTGGCAGATTTTTGGCATATGTATTTTTCCCGGTTTCCTTTGGATTCGGACTTTGTCCCAGAAGGGAGGGATGGGCTTCATTTCCGGAGTACAACTCGAAAAGCGTTCAATATCTTTCAACAGAACTTGGAAAGATATATGAGACAGATCTTGAAGTGGTGCCTTTTGCTATTTACAGACTTTTGGCATTTATGTTTCTCATGATATCAATGGAAACAATTTGGACTTAGTGTAAAAAAAACCCTGGACTTTAAGTGAGTGAGTGAGTTGAGTTTTGCGCCGGTCTCAGCAATATTTCAGCTATATGGCGGTGGTCTGTAAATAATCGAGTCTGGACCAGACAATCCAGTGATCAACAGCATGAGCTTCGATGTGCGCAATTGGGAACCGATGATATGTCAACCAAGTCAGTGAGCCAGACCACCCGATCCCATTAGTCACTTCTTACGACAAGCATGGGTTTACTGAAGATCAATATTCTAACCTGGACCTTCACGGGTCAGCTGGATTTTAAGTAGCTGTCAGATGATCTGTTCTTTCAAATATGTGTGGGCGGGGGGGATATGTCATCTTCTGATGACTCTTGTTTCACACATTCATGATATATTTTCAGGATGGTGTATACATTGTAGACAGAGCATAAGTTATTATTCCCTGCAACGCGTTTTGCGGTGGGGGTCTTAAAATGGACTCCGTCCGTGTGTGCGCGTCAGTGCGTCCGTGCACATTTGTCTTTTCCAGAGCAGAACTTTAAAACCGTTCAATATTTCTTCACCAAACTTTGCACATGGATAGATCTGGTGGTGTACTGGTGCCTTTTGGTAGTTTGGGAATTCTGAATAAAATATCTTTGGCATTTCTATGGCAACAAGTTTGACTTAGACTGAAATTGGTGGTAGTGCTCCTTTCTGGAGCAGAACTTTAAAAACCTTTCAGTACTCTCCTTCCACTTTTCTATATACACACCAAAATATTTGACATAATCATAACTCGTAGACATATTCATGAAAAGTATTTTGCCATTGAGGGGGATATTGATGACTTTGTCTTCTTGTTTGACTATTTTGAGGATCTCGTATATACTATACAAAAGAAGTTAAGGACCATCCAATTGTTTGCATGACAGATTAATTACTGACAGTATTATCAGAGCATAGATTTTCGGACATCATACTAATTCAGCTGACCATGTTTATTGACGAAGTATGTCACAAACATTGTAAATACACCAATGATGAGCTATTTTTGAGATCAAGTTGTCTTTCATAAGCTAGTGACATGTTTTTCAGTAGTTCTTATGACTGCCTAGAAAAGTAAATGTTTCTTAAGTGTCTGAAACCCACTTATTACTTATACAAGGATACATATTAACAATGAAAGAACTGGGTGCTCCTTAATTGTTTTAGTAGTATATTATTAATGATTGACAATTGCAGGTTATTTTAGCAGTATTATGTATAGTTTGAACTAAATGTGGTCAGTTATGACTTATCTAGTGACATTTTGTCACATTGTAAATCACTGATGTTTCGGTTTTCCCATGTTTTCAGTCCCAAAGATGCCATCAAGGCTATCAGAAAGAGGTTGTCGCAGAATGTTGGAAAAAACTATACCGCCGTTATGTACACACTCACGGTGAGTTCAGCCGATAGCATTTGATCGAATTTAAGAATCTTACTGCTGCCAATTACAAGCTTTCATAAACTGATAGGTCTTTTATCGTCCCAAAAGCAGTTTTTCAGGCGTAAAGAGGCAGCATGTTTTTATGTGTGTCTGATTAAGGACATTAAAGTGTTTGTTGTCATCTTCATCATGTTTACGGTTGAGTGAAGGTGCTAAATACCTGATTGCACCTACTGACCAGGCAGATGTAGGTGAGCTGAGCCTAGGGTCAGTGTTTACCTGTGAACCATAACCACACTTAAAAACACACTGATAGCTTTGTTTACATGCAGGGGGTGCTAGTCAGGCTCAGGTAATTTACCTGACTTGTCTGAAAACAAAAAACAAACATATAAAATCATGATTGGTTGCAACTCTTTATAGTCATACATCACGGGATGCAGCTCCATTGTTGTGTGGAAGTAGATATGGGCTCCTTCACCATTTCTTTTGGGGCATAACTCACTAACTGGTCATTATTCCTCAATGAAACTTTGTAAGATTTGTTTTTATTTGCATTTCCAAAGCATATATTTGAGCTTGAGTTTGAGTGTTGGGTTAGTTTTCAGTGTATAATTCTTAAACTGTTTGATATGTTTTGATGAAACTTTGTATGTGTATTTGAGAGTGTTCTCATTCCCCCACTCTTGTGTTCAACCAGCAACTGGAGACCTGTGTGAAGAACTGTGGGAAGCGCTTCCATCTGCAGGTAGCAAACAAAGACTTTCTCCATGAACTCATCAAAATAATTGGTCCAAAAAATGACCCTCCGCAGGCAGTGCAAGAGAAGGTGCTTAGTCTCATACAGGTAAGTCGTCAGTACTAGAACTAAAGAAGAAAAGACTGAATCATTGTATGGTGATAAAAGGAATGAGCATGTCCTTGCAAGGCAAAGGGACATAACTCTCCACAGCAGCTAGCCATGCCTCCACCCTGGTGGTGTTGGTATTGTGTTGGGCATTTGAAGAATCTGTCAAGATTATGGCACTGTAGACAGTTAATAAAGTATGAATGTACAAATGATTTATGTATACGGTATGTATACCAACAAATATGTGACAGATAAAGAAAATTTTATGATCATTTTGTAAAATTAAGGTCATTGCAGTATTCCTGCATATATCTCAATACGAAATCTCAGGAACACTTTCTGCCATAGAGGCATTTGTATCTGATATTCAGTGAATGTACAGGTGTGTATGTGTGTTGCAGACATGGGCTGATGCATTCCGGGGAGCACCAGATTTGAAGGAGGTGGAGAAGGTGTACAGTGAGCTGAAGTCCAAGGGCATCGAGTTCCCCATGACAGACCTCGACCACATGGCGCCCATATACACACCAGCACGGGTAGGCTGTTGCATGAGTAGGAGATAATACACAGGATACCAGTAATGGGTAGCGGAAGCAAAGTCCAAAATGTGTGCACATTCAATTCTATGAATGTTGCTGCACCAATGCAAAAGGTATGGTAGGGGATGGGGCCACCATGGTAACTAATTTGCATATTTCATAAATAGGAAATGGTCAAAATGTATCAAATTATTTTCGGGTCTGATTAATTTTGAGAATTTGCCAAAAGGGATAGGGATTCAGTTTATATTTTCACTTGTCTGCAAGGATGATTTTTTATAGATTCGCCATCTCCTCAATGGCTGAAGTAGTAGTCAAGAAATTGTTTATAGTCGTTCCTGAATTATACTGGTTTCTAACAGGTGACGAATGATTTTCTGGAAACTCAAATATTATAAAAGTCTTTGTGACATAGATAACTACAAATGTATTTAAGTCTTCTCCAGTTGTTGCTATTCCATCATGGAGAGATCAGGAAAATATGTTGATTCTTTTTCAAGAAACAGGTTCAGGTGATTTCTCCAACTTTTGTCAAGTTATGGTTGAAATGCAGTTGTTCTATCATTTCCTTAATGACACGTAGTTGCATCAGTTTTACTTGAGAATGACCGGTGCATTCCGAGCGCAGAATCAATTCCAACAACAATAACTTGATGTCATGATTATAATGGGTGAATAGTTCTTACGGCATGCTGGAGGTTGGAGATGTTGCTACAGCACTGGTGGTGTTGGCTGTAGGGAGGTTGGAGAGGTTGCTACAGCGCTGGTGGTGTTGGGGCTGTTGGCACCATTTGTATTTTGTTGTTCAGCTGCTTATTGTGTTTGCTTCATTGTCCACACAGAGTGTCCCTGAAACAGAACAGACAGCTCTCAACCGACACAGGGGTAGCTCGGCCAGATCCGTTAGTATACAGAGGGACTGTTTATGCCAACTCACTTCATATTAACATTACTTGACTGACCTACTGTTTCACTTTTGTCAGTCTTTGTAGCTATTTGTTTTGTTTATGTTTTGCATGTATTTTCTTGTGGGCTTACTAATCACGTATTCAAGTTTCACTGTCATTAGATCTAGAACCATATTTTCTTGTGTAAATTTCACACTTTCCCTCTCAGAACAATGGCTTTGTAGATGCGGTGCAATTTTATGTTTCCTTTCCTCCCAAACACAGAAATGGCTTCTGGCAAGTAACTATAGAAATGTTGACACATCTGTGTCCTGTTATTACACATCTAGTTACAGATCTGTTTCAGGGTTCATATTATTTTTCGCTTTATGTCTTTAATCTACTTAGTTGATTGAAAATTCATTCATTATTGGTTAAATTAAGTTTGGCAGGATTATGTGTGATTTCACCAACTCACAGTCCAATTTTCTCTGTTAACTTAAAACATACTTTGTAGTCTGAGAAAGTATACTCAGCAGCAAAAAAACGTCAGTACAAATTCAAAATTAGGTAGGCACTGTAATCAAATCATTACAGAAATGGACATAAGAAGCTGATCAAAAACATTTTTTGTGTACAATATCCTGACACATCAATGAATAACTCAGCCCAATTCCAAGACATTACGTGACTGTTTGCAGTCCATTCAGACTCTTGACTTCAGTATCTAGTGTGACCACCACGAGCGGCAATAACTGCAGCACAGCGTCTATGCATGTAGTGCCCCAATTGATTGATGAAGGCCATTGGCACCTGGAACCACACTCAGAGAAAGGCCTGGTGCAATAAATCGGCTGTGTTCGGCGTTGGTATGACATTATTCAGTCTCCTCTGAATTTCATCCCAAAGATGTTCAATTGGGTTTAAATCAGGACTAAGGGCTGGCCACTGCATAATGTTGACACTGTTCTGCTGTAGGAAGTACCGTGTAGCTCTGGCAGTATGGGCCCGGGTGTTATCAAGCTAGAAAATGTTGTTCCGGTGACTGGCGAAATGTGGTATGACGTGGGGTCTGGGAGCTTGGTCGATGTAGCGCACCGCTGTGATGCCGCCTCCTCTCCCTGGACCAAGGTTCTGGAACACCACAGGACCCACTCTCTGGTTCAGGCCTATTCCACGCCATACCATGATGCTTTCACCTCCCCATGAGTCTCTTTCCATAACACATTGGTTTGAGTAACGCTGGTCACGTCGTCGCCATATTCTTGTTCTGCAGTTGATATGCAGTACCGACTCTCATCTGTGAACAGAACAGTTCTCCATTGCCTGTATCGCCAGTTTTGGTGTTGTAGGGCAAACTGTAGACGTTCATGCCGATGAAGGGGAGGTGAGGATAGGTCCTTGGTAAGGTCTACGGCAATGAAGGTTCCCATTGTTAAGACGTCAGCGTACTGTATCAGTACTGATTGGTCTTCCGTGTGTTCCCACTGTCTGGGGTGCTGTTTCGGATGCCTGCATGAAGGGATTCTGTACATGCTGTCGCACAACATGGAGGTCTTGTCGCCTTGTGGTCACCCTTGGTCTGCCAGTACGGTGGGTTTTAATTTCTGGTGGTTGTGGCCTGGAAACGTTGCTGCAGCCTGTAGATGGTCCGAACGTTGACCTGGAAGTGATTGGCAACGGCTTTTGCAGTGTGGCCAGCTTCAAGTCTTCGTAGCGCCTGGTTCCTCTGAGCTGTCGTGAGTCGTGGCATCCTGCTGACGTTGTAATGTGAATGTTTCAGACAGGTTTGGGGGTGCATTTTATAGGGCTGGTCCTTGTGAACAGCATGTGCAGCATGAGTTGCATGGAGAACACTGTACCGTCTCCGACATTTGGTTGCGTTTTTGAGACTATTTCCTGGATTTCATTCTGAGTTTGGGGAGGAATGTCTTTGCTCAGGTAAAGTTGGAGATGTTGTCAAAAATATACAATCAAAACATTAAATGAGTTTACAGTTATCCGTTTCTGCGAAGGAAAATTCCGAACTGACGTTTCTTTTGCTGCTTAGTATATATGTATATCATAAATGTCAGAATTTGACTGAAGGTTAGTCATTGTTGTTATGTACAATTCCATGTAAATATATGTTTTGTGATAGAAATAGCAAGGCTGTGGGATAGGTTTATGTCCTGCTACTTGATTGGTTGATTTCAAATGGTAACTAGGTAACTCAATGAACTGTTCCATATGTGTAAACTTGTCAGTAAAATACCTAAGTTCTACACTCATGATTAGCTCTTTATAATGTATGTAGTAAAAATTTAGCTTTTTTTAGAGTAGGTCTAGCAGCACACCAAAAATAGAATTGGCTCACTCTGTGAAGCGATAACATCACTTAGCATCAGCCAACAGTTACAAGCTAATTTGCATATTACTTAACTTTTTCACTTGTTTTAAGAATTGGCTCACTCCATGAAGCGATAACATCACTTAGCATCAGCCAACAGCTAAAAGCTAATTTGCATATTACTTAACTTTTTCACTTGTTTTAAGAACACGCTTATTCTGAAATCAGCGCAGAATGACCTAAGGCAACCTTTCTGTGCACTGTTCATATTGTTTTGCATGATTATGTTGATATGCACCTACAACTGTAATGTACACATGAAAGAGCCCATACAGCTAGATCTCCCATCATGCTTCAATGACAGCACATAGAGACGGACATCCATTGTACATTATGTAGAAATATTCAAATGGAAATTCATGGCTTTGGATCATATCTTGATGAAGTTACAAACTTTATCACATATGTTTATCTAAATGTGTGATCTTCAACAATGAAACTGATGAATATACAATATATTGAATGTACTGTCTAGCATGCTATGAACCGTCACATGGCGCTGACCTATGGCAGAGAACTAGGCTTGCTGCAAGGAACTCTGGGAAGGCTTAAACAACCTGAATGAACATAGTACTGTGATGGATCTCCAAGTTTACTAAAACAAGAATCAGGGACAAAGAAAACAAAATCCAAAGAATAAATAAACAGTTTGTAGCCTACATTTGATGTTGTGAGGAGCAAATGCATGAAGTGATGTTGGTTGTGATGCCCTGGTAACTTCCCCCTGTTCTTCATCCCTTGTGAGTGCTCACATTGTCAGTGGATAGTGAAAGTGTATGGCATGCATGCTGATACCAGGCTGAGAGTGGGCAAGGACGTTACGTGTATCAGAGATGGAAGTTAACACTACTCCACTAGGAATACACAATGCCATTTAGAAAGTGGCAAATGGAACATATGTATTGGGATTATACTTTCGCAGTAAAGTATTGATTCTAGTACTGGGATTAGAACCCACACTCTCAGAGTCAGGTACCTAATCACCAGCACACAAAAAGTAGTGGCTGAGTGGGTTAAATCGCTGAGTTTGTGTGCTGGCGAGAGTGTGGGTTCAAATCCGGGATGGGACTCAACTTAATTAAAGTTCAAGAATCTTCAGTGTAATCCCAAATATAACATGTTACTACCAAACTTGCTTGTAGCAATATTTTAATGTTAAGAGTATTCTGAGGGATGGTAGCATTAACATTTTGGGGTTATTGCTACCTGTCTATCTGTTCATTTGCTGTTACTACCTACTACTACCGGGTTAACTTCCATCCCTGCATATGTCTTTCGACCTGTTCTGTTAATGAGCAGCCCTTGTTGGGATTTTTGCTGGTTATCAACAGGCATATTTATGAAGGGTTTGGAAACATTTTTGTATTTACAGTGTTTATTTTTAGGAAATTATGCCTTGGTTATGTTCACTGTTATGTATTTGTCTCTCTAGGAAATCAGTGATATAATGTTTTCAAGACAGTTTTCATGTAATAATAGCTGGGTGTTATCATGGATATTGCTCAGTAAATCTTCTACACTCAATGAAGAAACAGTGTTGGCATGATAAGAACAATTACAAGCTGGGTGTTATCATGGTTATTGCTCTGTGAATCTTCTACACTTAATGAAGAAACAGTGTTGGCATGATAATAACAATTACAAGCTGGGTGTTATCATGGTTATTGCTCAGTAAATCTTCTACACTTAATGAAGAAACAGTGTTGGCATGATAAGAACAATAACAAGCTGGGTGTTATCATGGTTATTGCTCAGTAAATCTTCTACACTTAATGAAGAAACAGTGTTGGCATGATAATAACAATTGCAAGCTGGGTGTTATGGTTATTGCTCAGTAAATCTAAACCTAATGAAGAAACCGTGTTGGCATGATAATAACAATTGCAAGCTGGGTGTTATCATGGTTATTGCTCAGTAACTCTTCTACACTTAATGAAGAAACAGTGTTGGCATGATAATAACAATTGCAAGCTGGGTGTTATCATGGTTATTGCTTAGTAAATCTTCTACACTCAATGAAGAAACAGTGTTGGCATGATAATAACAATTACAAGCTGGGTGTTATCATGGTTATTGCTTAGTAAATCTTCTACACTTAATGAAGAAACAGTGTTGGCATGATAATAGAACAATTACAAGCTGGGTGTTATCATGGTTATTGCTTAGTAAATCTTCTACACTCAATGAAGAAACAGTGTTGGCATGATAATAACAATTACAAGCTGGGTGTTAACATGGTTATTGCTCAGTAAATCTTCTACACTCAATGAAGAAACAGTGTTGGCATGATAAGAACAATTACAAGCTGTTATCATGGTTGTTATCGTTAGAAACAGTGTTGGCATGATGGTTATTGCTTAGTAAATCTTCTACACTCAATGAAGAAACAGTGTTGGCATGATAATAACAATTACAAGCTGGGTGTTATCATGGTTATTGCTTAGTAAATCTTCTACACTTAATGAAGAAACAGTGTTGGCATGATAATAACAATTACAAGCTGGGTGTTATCATGGTTATTGCTTAGTAAATCTTCTACACTTAATGAAGAAACCGTGTTGGCAATGAGCTGGGTGTTAATGAACAATTAAACTTCTAAACTTAAGCTGAAACAGTGTTGGTGTTATCATGGTTATTGCTCAGTAAATCTTCTACACTCAATGAAGAAACAGTGTTGGCATGATAATAACAATTACAAGCTGGGTGTTATCATGGTTATTGCTTAGTAAATCTTCTAAACTTAATGAAGAAACAGTGTTGGCATGATAATAACAATTACAAGCTGGGTGTTATCATGCTTATTGCTCAGTAAATCCTCTTGAGAAACCCTAATATTCATCATGCCCATGGCTTCACAGAGTATGTAAAAATACACATAAGGAATGGAATGAATAAGTAGCTTTTCATTAATATTTAAGCATGTTACTGATAGTGTATTGTAATTTAGCAAAGATATCTGTTTTCCATGCATGACCATTTCTTTGCGAATGACTGTTTGGATGTATATTCTGATAGTCTGGTCCAGCTGTTACCTGCTATAAGTATTGATATCATCACTAGCCAGAATCATGTCACAACACATAGCATGTCTTTCATGGACATTTAGAAGTTGGTGGTTCATTAAAACAAAAGATCATATTATGGAAAGTTTTATTGAATGAAAGTTTTATGGAGCAATATTATAACCCTATGCAATAAATTTGGTATCACAATGATAAATATGCAAATGAGGTAATCTGGTAGGAACTCAGTATATACCTGTACATTGATGGTATATCTGTACATTGATGGTATATGGCCTGCTTGTTTAATGATTTCTAGCAACCATGATAAATGTAGATTGGAATTCCTGATTATAGTGTTTCTGTAAGGCTGTGAAATATTATGCGCCATTTTTTCTTGGGAAAGTTTACTATCTGTCATTAATGGGAATATTTCTTTCTCTCACTGTATCCATGTGTGATTCAAATGTAACTTCATTGAGTGAAATTAGGTCCAAAACATTGATTGTTTGAAGACTGATGTCATAAAAGAGATTGTTACTCTTGCTTTCTCCTATATTGTAAATTACAAATATGTGTAATATCATTGAATATGCTCTCATTGGATTGCATTAGACAATCTTTAACTCTAGTGTATGATATTTTCTGTCTGGAGGTACACTCTGATGATAATGTCTGTATAAAGTTTCAATGTCTTTCTACACAATGATTCAAGGCTATTTCAATACCCTTTGTCACATAAATCAACTGACGAATGGGCAAAAAGTAGCTTCAATAGTGTGATTCACCTGAAGATATGGTCAATGTCAGTGCCTTGAAAGTTTGAGTAGAAAGAATTCAGATGTTGTATTCGTGTGTCCTGTATCACAGTGTCATAGTGAGATTTATGTCTCTGCAGACATCGGTGCGGAGCCCCCAGAAACAGCCGCAACAGCAGCCACCCCTGCAGCAGCAGCAGCAGTCTGTCCCTGGTCCCCAGTTTGTGGGGGGCGGGGCACCCACACCCATCCAGCCGAACCAGGAGCAGCAAGGCAAGCTTCGCCGGGAGTTGGAGGTGGTGTCCGGAAACATTCGTGTCATGTCGGAGATGTTGACAGAGCTCACGCCCACCAGTTGTGACCCATCAGACCTGGAACTTCTGCAGGTGGGTTCTGGATAATTGAGAACAGTTCTGACAGAGACAGGAAACTTGTTGTTAAGTTTAGAAACTCTCGTTTTAGGGCTTCTCTTGTCAGGCCAAGGAAATACCCTTTAGTTCACGGAAAATGCCATTGTCAATGTGTTCAGGAGTTTTGGACTCGGTTGATCCTGTTTAACTTATATCTTTGAAGGTAAGCAAGGAGCAAGCATACACTCCGAAACGTCGTGTCATTCACAATAAAGAAGTTGACACCCATAAATCTTGCATTAAAAAAATTAGATTCTAATTTTCTGTTTCCTAAAAGGAATACTTTGAATATGTGACCCTGAAATATTGCCTTTCTAATGTACGTCCCAATGCGGATGTTCATTAGATCCTGTGGCCACCATCCAATTCTCTGTCTGGCAGATGGTCGATAGGATAAGGGACTGTTCATAATTCATACTTACTCATAATGTGAATGACCCCCCTTAACTTCTTTTTCAGAAGAAGTCCTCCTTGGGGTACATATAAGCATCAAAATGTCCATTTTAAAATACCTACGACAGTTGTAAAAATATTTCAATAAAATATTTTACCAAACAAACAATTTGTGTTGTTTAGTGAGACCACCCCTACAGGGCCCCTCACAGGGCCCCCTACAGCCAAGAGCAGGTAACTCTGGCTGCTTACCTCGTACCTCACTTTTCATGCTGCTGTTGTCAAGAACGGTTGTGCATGGTCCCGTAGAACACACGTCTTCGCCTTATCTACGAAAGAGACTTTTTTCATTCATGATTTTTTGTAACTTTGCCGGTGTGTTCGCTGTTTCCAGCCATGTGCTGGCTTTGTAAGCCGTTGAGGTCGGGTTGTAAGGTTTTCATATGTCATTACATAGGTTATGCTTGCCTAAAATTCCTCCTTTTCAGCGGTTTTTCGGTAAGTTATGGTTGAGTGATTTTGTAGCGTGTTTGTTTCGTATCGCTTACAAGTGTTGCTCTTTGTTAGTTATGTGCACAGTTAGGCTTTGCTATTGTTGCTTCATGCTAGTTTTTTAATAGCTTTGCTGTAGCAGTTAAATATCACCCATGCGTTGTATTTTTCTGTATTGTTGTGTGCATATTCTACTATGTTAAACAGTCCTGGCTATTAGTCATAGCGCGGTTCTGTTTTTTGCAGTCCAAGTGCAGTCCACACGAGTGGATGCTCAATCGGAAGATATTCAGGATTATCTCCCAGTTGTTCGGGTCGTTCCAGGTGGATCTGTTTGCTTCTGGAGGGACTTACCAGATTCTGGTGTTTTGCTCTCACCTCGGACGCTTTCCAGCTCGATTGGACAGGGAGGGTTCTGTGGGCATTTCCGCCATTACCCCTGATTCCCAAGGTCCTCTCGCAGCTTGCCACCCAACCAGCTTGACTGCTTGTACTCCTTGCACCTCTTTGGGCGGCTCAAAGCTGGTTTCCGGTACTACTCAGGTTTCTTGCTCAGCCTCCTGTACTATTACCCTTTCGACCGGACCTACTATCCCAGAATGGAGCGCCGAACCCGAATCCCAGGATTCAGTGGGTGGCCTGGCCACTGTCCGGAATCGCCTCCAAGCGGAATTCCTGCACCAGTTGCAGACACAATTCTGGCTTTGCGGATGGATTTGACAAACGTTCAATATGAGGATAGATGGGCCTGTTATATGCGCAGGTGTGTCGGCAGAGGGATTCGCGATCCCTTTTCTTCAACTGTAGTTGAAGCGCTGGAGATTTTACAGTCTCGGTTGGAGGCCGGCTTAGCTGCGTCCACTATCCGGGGCTACTCCACGGCAATCTCTGCCTTCCATGTACCTGCCGATGGTGCTCTCTTGGGGCAGCACCCTCTTGTGCAGCGCTTTTTAGCAGGCATGGACAGAATCCGTCCGACTGTCCGGCGGATTAGTCCCCCGTGGGACTTGTCAATCGTTCTTGATTGGATGTCCGGTCCTCTCTTTCACGATATGTTGTCTGTTTCACTTCAGCTGTTAAGTTGGAAGGGTGCCTTTCTTATGGCGGTAACGTCTGGCCGGCGGGTAGGCCATATCCATGCGATGTCAGCGGATCCTGCTCTGACTGTCTTTCACAAAGACAGAGTCAGTATTTGGTTGCCAGACTCTTACCGTCCTAAGATCGCAGGCGCCTTTCACATAACTGCGCCTATTGAACTGCAAGCTTTCACTCAGCCTCCATCGTCCGGTACCTCACTTCGACGCACTCACATCTTAGATGTCCGTATGACTCTCAAGGCTTATATCAAACGAACGGCTGCTATCAGGAAAGATAAGCAGCTGTTCTGCTGTTATGGCGTTGGTAAGGCTGGTCTTCCGGCGAACAAGCAGTTCATATCTAGGTGGCTTGTCTCTGCCACTTGTAGGAGTTACACTCACAAAGGGTTAACTATTCTTGATGGGTTAATAGCTCATTCAGTTAGGGCAATGGCTACATCAAAGGCATATGCCGCGACACTGGCATCATATTGGTGGTGTTTTTTACCGATTTTATTGGCTCTAGCGTTGTTATACGCTCTATCCACTGTTTTTTCCTCCCTGCACCACGCTTCACTGGTTTGGGATTATGAATGGAATATTTAGGACTTGCCCATACATTCCTTCCCATATGGATGGTTGGGGGGGTGGGACTTACGTCCGTCATTATAACTTAGCCAGTAGCATATAAGCTAGGCTCCTTCGATCACGCCTTGCCACGCCCCCGCCTGATTGACATCAGCGGTCACGTGACTCGGTAAGTGTGTTTTTCTCTCTCTCTTGGCTTTGGCTGTGCCTTTGATTGAACTACAGGGTATGTTAGCCAGACAGAATACCGCTCCCGACTCGCCATCGTTGGGAGTCTGTCTTATGCTTATATGTACCCAAAGGAGGACTTCTTCTGAAAAAGAATTTTACAAACCTGTAGAGGTTATGAATTCTTTGAAGAAAGTGCTCCTTGGGGTACGGCCGCCCGCTTCCCCTCATTCTGTCTGACACGTTCAGCATTACGAGGTAAGCAGTCAGAGTTACCTGTTCTTGGCTGTAGGGGGCCCTGTCTAAACAACACAATTTTTTTGTTTGGTAAAATATTTTATTGAAATATTGTTACAACTGTCGTAGGTATTTTAAAATGGACATTTTAATGCTTATATGTACCCCAAGGAGGACTTTCTTCAAAGAATTCATAACCTCTACAGGTTTGTAAAAATGTATGTACACAGTAAGTGACTCTCCCTGCATGTCATGTACAGAATTGCTGACCCACCCCTTGTACATATGTACAAAATTGATGACTCCCCCTACCTCCCCAGAACAAAATGGGTGACCCCCCTCTTAAAACCATCATCACTCTCACCATCACACACCCACACCCACCACCACCCACACCCACCTCCCAGCCACAGTTCCTAGATAGAAAAGAGTTGAGTTGATGTTTGTGTATTGTAGGAGCTGCATCGCACCAACAGACAGATGCAGTCCCGATTGGTGGACCTCCTGAACCACGTGGCCACAGAGGAAGTTACAAGTAAGTCACTTGCCCTGCCCCAACTTGAACCCGAGTTTTGATAGGATCCTGACACTCTTTTGTTGGCTATAGGAAGCAGCTAACTTTTCAGGCTTGGGGACTTACATTTCGTTGTATCCTGATTTATTGGATATTGCTCATGATATCAACCCCTGGTTTGTCCTCCCACTGACAGAGTTATTCACAGGGTGCCTTCCAGGATTGGCCATTGGGGTTGTTTTCATTTTTCTGATGATATTGCAATAGTACTGCCACACAATTGCAATAGTATTGTGATAGTGTTAATAAAGTGAATATAGCACAGACATCAATTTAAAGTCGCCATTTTCTTCCCCGTTGCGTACTGAAACCAAAGGGAAGTAACTCTAATCCAAACTTCGTATGATATGTTATGCACAGCACCTTTGAATTTTTGTTAGTTTTCTGAATGCATAATGTATGTTCTAATTATAACTCATGTCTATTGGAACTAACAATTGTTATACATACTATTAACAATACCAAACAGTTGCAACATGTAGATAATTCAATATATCATTCCACTCAAGTGCAATGATCTATCTCAAACATTACTCACTACAGCATTAAACAAAACAAGAAAAAGTGAGAAAAGAATCTTTCACTGATGTATTTATTGTTTGCACTGTTGACAACACGCTGTTCCCTACAGATGAGCTGTTGAGAGTGAACGATGACATGAACAATGTGTTCCTCCGTTACGAGCGGTTTGAGAGGTACCGTACGGGACAAGCTGGTACCCCAGACCAGGCCCCAGCGGAGACGGTTCCCACGTCGGTAGCACCGGCAAGCAATGACCACCTGCCACCCTCATATGATCAGGTGTGTAAATCTCGGTCCGATACTTTGTGTTATTGTTGGGGGACATGTGTTCTTAGTCTGGCGGTCTTTTTAATGTTTGTATAACTTGTCATCTTGCTTGACCATCTATTATTGATGAAGGAACAGGACACAGAATTCACATCTGTATCTAGCATCAAACATTTGAACTCATTGCTGAGAATTCATTTCCATGATTACAGAATGTTGGACCAATCTGTAGCTCTGATCTGAAAACGGGTGAACAGAAACTGTATATGAAGTTGGACAAATATATGATGGTGCCCATGAACATGTTTATGTTTTAATGCCTGTCAATTGAGGAGGTTGTATTTCTCTGTAAATGTCCTCTTTCATATTAGGTAATTTGGGTTTTGTTTTTACACTTTGGGTGGTAATCTAAACTTGGGAGTGCCTTTTAGCCTGATTTGGTGTTTCATCATCCTGAATGACCTGATAGCTATATCCTGATAGCTGTACCATAGCTAGGGCTGAAAACCATTTACAGTTAACTGTCAGGTTACTCAGAAAATGCTACATGGGTTAGAACTATTCCTAGTTAAATTGCGTGGATGTATGCTTTCCTTTAGTGATCTCAGCGAAGCCATTTCACAGGCACATTGCATAAGGACACCCCAAATGAACATTGCAATAAGTTTTAATGAGTAGGCTCTGGGCCTCAGTTAAATTAGGTATGATACACATGCATGCTCAGCTTTCTAAATATCAAAACATTCACATGTTTATTTACGTAAAAAATCTTTTTTAGAAATCTTGCGAGTTAAAAAAGTAATTTAGATTGCAATATTTTATTTTAAAAGTTGGAATGAATTTATGCAACATTGCATTAAATTGACTCTTGTGTCGTCTACTGGCTGAACAATATATTTCAAGTGAACCATATAGAGTTATGTCCCTTAGAGCGCTCTTTACGAATATCCTACGCACAACTTTTGATTAAAACCAGTTCGGCAAACACTGACAACATCATGTTTGACAGTTTTCGATATAAGGAGCAATTGTTTACATTCCATATATGGCAAGTGTTTCTGTTTGGAAGTTTTTTGCCTCGAAGTTTCAATTATCGATTTCAGGCAAGTCGTAAGGGAAAATAAACCTTTTATTGCATCAATAGGAAGCTAAAGTGAGTGCATATGCCACCCAATATATAAAATATAGGCCAAAATATTGTCGAAAAAGTGTGACATTGTGCCTTTAAGATATGATTTCAGATGTGTTATTTACAATATTGGCTTGACTTCTTGATTTTACCATCGGTTACCTGGCAAGTATTAGTAGACATACAGGTACATGGTAGAAAAATAACCTTTGAGGTTTGCAATAGTTGTGTTTTTGCTCACGCTGTTTCTGATCAGAGAGTAAAACGCCATAGAATAACCAATAGTTTGGAATACTGGTCTCTTCCTGGCTGTAACCAAGTTTCCCAGCCTGAATCTTCAGATCTCTATGTTCCAATGATGTATGTACATGCCACTTATATACCAGGTTGTGTCGGCGCCAGAGCCTGTGGTAAGCAATCCCATGTATCTCGCTCCTCTCCTGCGTACATTCTTACCTCGTGTTGTAGCTGCTTGTTTTGTCATGTCATCAGTAGGGGGACACCACCGTCATAAGATATGTCCCAATTAGTCCATACATGGAGATAGTGGCATAGTTCCCAGTGGAACCATCAGTACCATTTCTATATTTATGTAAATGCTTTTCATGTAAAGCGTCCAACAGGAGCCTTATTGAACTCTGACGTGTATTTATAAATAGATGATAATGATGTTTGGGGGGTTTGACTTACCCTGCCTCAGTGGGTGTGTAGACGAAATACAAGCAGAAAGTTCAGAAGATGATGTAAATTTTTTAATTTCTTTTCATTGAGTATATATTTGATGTCACAAGAGCACCCCATTGGTTAAAGCGTCTACTCGTCACTGAAGACCCGGGTTCAATTCCCCACATGGGTTCAATGTGAGGAGGGGCGGTGGGGTAGCCTAATGGTTAAAGCGTTGGCTCGTCACGCCGAAGACCCGGGTTCGAATCCCCACATGGGCACAATGTGTTAAGCCCATTTCTGGTGTCCCCCGCCGTGATGTTGCTGGAATATTGCTAAAAGCGGCGTAAAACCAAACTCAGTCAGTCAGTCAATGTGAGGAGCCCATTTCTCGTGTCCCCACCGTGATATTGCTGGAATATTGCTTAAAGCGGCTTAAAACTTGACACACTCACTCACTCTGTGTAGAGTTGCTTCATTAGTATACGTCTGCATGAAAGCAGTCCTTGATTGTGGGTTTGAATCTTAGATTGAACCCCATTACGTTTCTAGGTTTGTCAGTACCATACTGGTATTCATGAGTTTCACCAATAATGTGCATTCCACCACTGACTTATCTGAACTGGGTGGTGATATAACACTGTATGACATGAGGAAATGATTGTGTGTTCAAGAAGTGTATACTGTGTGGTTTAAGGGCTTTTATACATTTCTGGTTTTGGCATTGTTGCTTCACTGGCTTGGATTCATATTCTCTTAGAAATATTTCATTAGAATATTCTGACATTTGCTTTTATCAATATGAATATTTAGTGCAGTATTTTAGAGGGAGCAGTTATTGGCTTGCCTGACATAAAATGGGCCTGGGTAAGTGTACGTCCCTGTCGGTCGTCCATCACCATGTCATCTGCCATGTCATCTGCCATGCCATACACTTGCTGCATGGGCTGTTGCTCATTCTGTCCATCACTGGTTCCCTGGCCTTCAGTTGGTGTATAAGGGATTGAGGAGGTCGAAGCTTCACAATGGATTTCTAAAACAATGAATATTTTGAATCAATGAAACTGACATTACATGAAGCCGTAAATGAATCTCCATAAAACCTTGAGTCATTTTAGCAAATTGTTGCATGATGAGGGGTCTGAGATTTGTAAACTGATCAAACTTGTGCTGGCTTGGTGGTTGATTGGATTTCATTGGACACCAGCATTGTGGATTTTTGCGGACAACACCAGTACCTGAATTGTCTGGTCAAGCTTGATTACTTACAGGCAGATCTCGTACAGCTGGACCATTGCTGAGTGCTGCCTGAAACAACAAACAAATAAACTGTGACATAAGTCAAATACTGTACACAAGATGTTAAACCCATCTCCCACAGTTTCCATGTTACATGCTGATATATAAACCCCTCAAATGATACTGATTGTTACTGAGAGTAGGGGAGCGTACATGTTACTCAGGCTAGTCATGTTTGTTTACAAATACTTATTCTGTATTTTGAAGTGTTTTTCTGACATATACACAGTGTACACACATATAACAGCACCCGTGAAGATCCAGGTTAGAATTTATCTTCAGCTACCCATGCTTGTCATAAGAGGGGACTAACGGGATTGGGTGGTCAGGCTCGCTGACTTGGTTGACACATGTCATCGTTTCCCAGTTGTGTAGATTGATACACATGCTGTTGATCACTGGATTGTCTGGTCCAGACTCAATTATTTATAGACCTCTGCCATATAGCTGGAATATTGCTGAGTGTGGAGTAAAACTAACCTCACTCACTCACTCATATATAGGAGAGCGGAAGGTCGCGGGTTCGATCCCCGATCGCGTCATACCAAAAGACGTTAAAATATGGTACTTGTTGGTCCCTGCCTGGCGCTCGGCATTAATGGGTACAACAAGGACTGGTCGGCTCGGAGTCAGTATAATGTGTCTGAGTGGGGTATTCATGCTTCACTGTGGCATGGTATCTCAGTGAGCTAGCACTATAAAACCAGCTTAAGTCTGGGCTAGTACAAGCAGCCGCACATACACATACACACACATGCACGTCGTCATATGAGCGAAATATTCTCGAGCACGACGTAAAACCCAATTTCACCTCACCTCACTCATATATAACAGTTGTGGCTTGGTGAAGGATGCGTGACTAGCTGTGTATAGCTATGTGTTGTGTACACTCCCTATTTTGATCATGCTAATATTTGCCTGGATGATGATCATGTGATAATATCAAAGTGTTGTCAGTGTCAGTAGTATATACATGCTTTGTGTAAAATGGTTGAAACTTGTGTGATAATGTAAAGTGTAAGAACTTGTTTAAAAGTGTATAATTTAGGTGACCTTTTCACGTAATCTAATGTTTATCTTCTATCATATATGAATCCTTTTATTCTTTGTGTTACCTATTAAGACAATGTGTGGTTCCTGTCTTCCCTTTCAACCCATATAAAACCTTATACATTCTCCATCTTCGACACTGCACAGGTGCTTTGTCTAGTTGTAATACCAATCAGGCATTTTGTAGATAGAACTCTCAGGTGCATTTGTTTACATTTTAAATCAAATGATTAATTTACATGTTTACTTTGAAATAACATTTTACTTCTAGTACAGAGTTTAAATATCGTATTAATAATTTTTGGTTATGAATCTTAATGTTGTAACCTGTAACATCTGTTTTGATAAAGAAAAATACAAATTGTAACTATTGCTTAATCAGTATTGTGAAGTCATGTTTATAACACCTCCTAGTTGGATATGCTGTAATATGTATGATTCACGTCTCAGTTGCACTCCAGTTTAAGTTAGTTGTAACAGTAAATACAGCATTATGTTCTGCCATATGTGAGTGATAAGCAGTTGAAGAATACTTAGTTATGTTGTCATGTGTATGGTGCACTGTGATAAAAGGGGTAAATTCTGTTTAGGTACCAAAGTTTGGCGAAATGAAACCTATGACTTAGTCAAACTGGCACTTATTGATTGTTGTTTAGTCAGATTCTTCAAAGCAGACATTACCCACTATTTTAAAGCGGCATGACAGAAATGTTTGGTCATGAGGCTTCGAATCTCAGTTCACCATGATTTTGGTTCTAGGTTTGTCAGCAATATACCTGCACTCACAGGTTTTACCTGCATCACCTTGGCTTTTCCTCCTGTATTAAGCTGACATGCTGTGATATAACTGGAGTACTGTTGAAAGAGGCATTTTACCAAGCTGACAGATTTGTGCTGATTATGATCATTGGTCTGCCAGCACCACCGCTTATGATTTTAACAAGTAACAATACATGCTTTGCTGAGTTCTACCAGCATGTAACATTACCGAGCATCTACATGCCTCTCGACTTTGACAGATCGTAACATTAACCAGCATCTACATGCCTCTCAACTTTGACAGATCGTAACATTAACCAGCATCTACATGCCTCTCGACTTTGACAGATCTTAACATTAACCAGCATCTGATTTGAATGATTTTGACATTGTAACAATTCTCTTGCAGGTTCAGGCCTCGAACAACCCGAACGTAGGAAACCTGATTGACTTGGGCGATGCCGGGCGGGCAGCCACCAGCGCCTCCGATGTCAATGTCCAGATGGCTGGCATGAGTATGTAACTCTTCACTGTCTTGTACCGGGAACGCTTATTGCCATCTGCTACATGTTGTCTCGTATGTCATGATACTGAACTATATGTCATCATCAATACTTCATTTTCACTCTGCATACACAAATTCCAAATTAATTTTAGTGCTCCTTTTTGTTTCCCAGGATTCTTAGAATTAGTCCCCAGCAATCTATGCATTTTGTATGAGGCGACCAAATGAATGAGTAGTCATTGTCTTGACCTGCTTAATTGATCATATCTGTCACTGGATTGTCTGGTCCAGACCCGATTATTAACTAGCTGCTGTCATGTAGCTGGAATATTGTTAAGTGCAGCATTGAACAGCAAACAGACTGTCTATTGTCATTTTCTAACAAACCAAGCTGGAAGCTAGATCCCATCATAAGAAATGCTGGACAACACATGCAGCATGTGCCAGAGCCTTGTTGTCATCATGAAGAATAGCTTGCTTAAGTTCCTAGATTATTAGTGCATTGCCTCCTTAGTTAGCTGACCTATAAACCTCTCATCATTAGGGGGTGGTTGTGGGGTAACCTAGTGGTTAAAGCACCGAAGACCCGGGTTCGATTCCCAACATGGGTACCATGTGTGAAGCCCATTTCTGGTGTACCCCCGCCATGGTATTGTGGGAATATTGTTAAAAGCGGTATAAAACTAAACTCACTCACTCATCATTAGGAGACAACAAAGTGGCAAAACTAAATCAAAAGTGGTAGAGGAATATTGTCAGGAATTTCACAGTGTGTTTTTGTATGATCCTGTCTTGCTCCCCAGTTCCATGTGTCCCTTGTGTTCCCCATCCTCTCATGGACCGCCTCCGTGGTGTAGTGATTAGAGCGTCCGCCCGGAGAACAGAAGGTCGCGGGTTCGATTCCCGACCGGAATACCAAGAGACGTTAAAATATGGTACTTGTTGGTCCCTGCCTGGCACTCGGCATTAATGGGTACAACAAGGACTGGTCGACTCGGAGTCAGTATAATGTGTCTGAGTGGGGTATTCATGCTTCACTGCGGCATGGTATCTCAGTGGGCTAGAACTATAAAACCATTTTAAGTCTGGGCTAGTACAAGCAGCCGCACATACACATACACATACACATACACATACACACACATACATACACATACACATACACATACACATACACATACACACGCATGCACGTCGTCATATGAGCGAAATATTCTCAAGCACGACGTTAAACCCAATATCACCTCACCTTACCCATCCTCTTACTGTAAGCTATGTTCCCTCTATCTACAGACATGGGCAGTAGCAGTGGTGCTCCTGCCACCAACACTGCGGCACCTGCCACCAACTCGGCCGCCTTCAGCGATGACTTCGACATGTTTGCTCAGTCTCGTCAGTCATTTGATGAGAACAAACAAGCACCCAGGTAATGTCATGTGAAGTGGAAAATTCGATACTAAATACTGCATTATTTGTATGTTACAATATCACCTGTGGTCATGCCTAGGAAAATGAGCTCCTTAGTACCCAATGCTTGTTGTATGAGCCAGTTAGTTAGGCTTTGTACCCGTGAAGGTCCATGCTTGTCGTAAGAGGCGACTAACGGGATCGGTTGGTCAGGCTCACTGACTTGGTTGACACATGTCATCGGTTCCCAATTGCGCAGACCGATGCTCATGCTGTTGATCACTGGATTGTCTGGTCCAGACTTGATTATTTACAGACCGCCGCCATATAGCTGGAATATTGCTGAGTGCAGCGTAAAACTAAACTCACTCACTCACATATACATGTATACACTTCTATGTAAGTGCAGTAAATGTGTGTTTAACCTTCATTTGCCCTGTCTGTAGTCACTTGGTTGTCTGACCAAAGCGGTGTTATATGACAGAATCATTATTGACTGCATGATGATGACTGACTTACAGTTCCGGGGCATACACCAACCAACAGGAGGACCAGGCAGGAGTAGGTCTCGGCCAGGCCGTGTCAGCCAAAACACAGCAGGAAATCCTTAATGTAGGTCCACATGTTGAGACCCTCTTCCTGGTCATGTACATAGCACGTGTCACTTGGACTCCTTGGATGTTATGACAGATTTAAGATTCAGACTTTCATCCTCCATGCGATGCATCTGTTAGAACTCACTTGTGTAATGTCAAGACTGTTAGAGCGCTTAAACACAACAGGAAATTCACTACTACAATACTTGGACTGAGGGTATATTGAGATGGATCTTTTGAAGAGTTCTCGAGACGGTTGGGTAGCCTAATGGTTAAAGCATCTGCTTGTCATGTTGAAGACCTGGGTTTGATTCCCCACATGGGTTCCATGTGTGAAGCCCATTTCTGGTGTCCCCTGTCATGATATTGTTTGAACATTGCTAAAAGTGATTAAAACTAAACTCACTCATACCTTATATCACTGATTAGTGTGGTTAAACTTGAATATTTAAAGGTGCTGTCATGTAGATGTAATGTTGCTTATTCGGGAGTTGAATAACAAGTCATCAGACACCTGTTTTGTTAGTTCGAGTATTTGAGCATGGACTGCTGTTTACTTCTGTCTGTCCAGCTAGGGTCCATGCAGGTAGCAAAAGTAATGTAAGTCCCCATGGTCCCTAATTTGGTGATCTACCTTCAGTTGTTGGTGATCTATAGCCAGTTTTTATATTGTATTGTCCAAGTAGTGCTATTAGTTTAACTTTCCACACTAGTTTTAGTTGTAATTGTGATATTCTAGTTGTTTTACTGTCCTTCGTAGACAGGTTTTTATCATATACATATATTCCATTTCAATGTCAAATATGTTCTCGTCACGATATGGCTGAGATATTGCCGATGTGCCGTTAAATATTAACTTACTCACTCACTCACTTACTTCTGTCTGCTTTACGCACAGCTGCAGGACAAGGAGACTGACTACGATGAGATGGAACAGTGGCTGGCCACTCAGAAACCACAGGTAAGACCATGGATGTCCTCCACCCTCCAGGTGTAGCTCCACAGGCTACTGGGTTGACACAGAGTACTGGGGGACAGTGATGTTACGTGGGTCAAATACAGTCACACTCCATTGTGTTGAGGTAGAAGGGACATGTGTAAAGGTTTGACAGGACTGCAGACTGATGACTAGAGAGGCAATAAACAGGGACCAAGTTTGGCACAACTGTAGTTGACTGTAATTAGTTAGTGTACAGTGGTGCCACCATTTTGACATGTCCTCTGACCCGTGAACATCTGGTTAAAATTGATCTTCAGTAACCCATACTTGTCGTAAGAGGCGATTAACGGGATCGGGTGGTCAGGCTCGCTGGCTTGGTTGACACATGTCATCGGTTCCCAATTGCGCAGATCAATGATCATGCTGTTGATCACTGGATTGTCTGGTCCAGACTCGATTATTTACATGTTATAAATGCAAGGAACCTTATGGAATCTGGGGCATGGCACATTCCTTGTACACCTTGGTTATGGAAACGGACAACAACATTTGATGTTAATACAAGGGACCTCTAGGAGCTGTGGAGGCCCCATGTACATTGTGTTAGAATATTGGTCATGGCACGTAGTGCTGGCTTTATTGCAAGGCACCTCAGATATTGTGGAGCAGCATAGACCCCTTAGTGCCTTAGTGCGTCAGTTTAACATGAATACCATGCTAAAACAGCATACTGTTCAGAGCAAACTAGTCCTTTGTTATCCCATTAGGTTTGAGAGCTAGACAGTTTACAATATATACCATCTTGTTACATCTGTGTTGCCAATGTTGTGTTCCAGATAAGATTGGGATACACAGGTTCATGGGGCAGTGGGTAGCCAAGTGGTCAAAGCGTTCACTTGTCATGCCGAAACCTGGGTTCATTTCCCCACATGGGTACAATTAGTTAAGCCCATTTCTGGTGTCCCCCGCCTTGATATTGCTGGAATATTGCTAAAAGCGGTGTCAAGCTAAACTCACTCACTCACCTAGATTCAATGTGTTCATGTCAAACTGTACCGAACATATTGTGTTACAGGGCGCCGGAGGGGTCACAGACCCAGTTTCCAGTTCAGGTGAGATTGGACAATCTCTTGTCATAGTTCAGTAATTTATCTCAGCTCATCTTCATGTTTATTCTAATGAAAGATTGATTTGTTTATTGGTAGACATATTTATCTCTTGTCTCACATTGCTGAAAATAGATAAATGAATTGTGTATGTTTTACCTTCAAGTGCATGCAGGTGTGCTTTTGTCTATTTCCAATAATGCTTCTATAATTTCCCAAATCACGCATACAGAATCTTGACTTAACATTTGTCACTATTTCTACATAAATTTGTTTGGTGACAAAAATAGCACTAACAATAAAAAGTATGTTTAAATGTAGACTCGTTTGATAGCATACTCATGATACAGTGCTCATTTATCTGTCCATATCCATTATCGTTCTAATATCTGACTTTGTTTCTATACAGACGACAGAGAGTATTCTGGGTTGAGCCCTGGTACAATATTTGTCAATGTTTCGCTTAATCTTATTTCTTTCTTACAAAGCTGGTATATACTTTCACTGACCTTTCTTCACCTCTAACCTGTGTTTGGTTAGACAACTGCTCTAAAATATTTTGTTTTCTTTTTTAAAAAAAGGTGCATTTTATTTTGTAGATATCTCTGGATAACAGTTTACAAATTTCACAATTCAAATTTAGCTTTATTACGCTACACTGTAACACACTGCAAAATATACAGTGATAAATGCTTATAAGACCCAGCAACATCTAGAATATTTAACATGTTATATTTGGAATTACACTTTCTCAGTAAAGTACCAATTCTAGTTCTTTCGTTGGCTGAGTCCCATCCGGGATTCGAACCCACACTCTCAGAGTCAGGCACCTTATCGCCAGCACACATTCGACCACTTTCTAAATAGGATTGTGTATTCATCGAGAATATTGTGGAAAGTTTTCCAGATGTTGTTCTTTGGTGTGTAGTTGGTGTGGGGACTTTTTAACATTGCTAAATGTATGGCGTAATACTCGGTGCTCATATAATGGCTGAAGGTTAAATGTCAACATTCTGTTAACCTCTGGAGACATTCTTGTTGTTTTGGTTCCATAGTTGTCGGTTCTTCTGTCTTATATATATACTGGATTACTATAGTAAGTATACTTAAAGGGATACAATGTTCATTTTGTTTTATATACATTGCATTACTTTCGTCAAAGGAAATTTTGTTTGATATACACTGGATTAGTATGGTTAGTATTGCCACAGGGACAGTCTTTCATATTTTGCATATATATTGGATTGGTACAATGACGCTAATGCGGGTAAAGTCCTTGGAGCCTATTATCTCCCTTTGTTTCATATTTGTGAATTGTCTCCCTTATCTCCTTGCTTTCTCTGAACAGAGGCCATATACAGACATATGTATGTGGTCTCTGCTCTGCATCAGCAGTTGTCAACTTGGAGAGCCTACAACAGTTTGTACCTCATATATTATAACTGTCTTTCTGTATGACAGAAACAAAATGTCAAGATCCATATTTATCTTATGTTGTAAATTATGATGCAGCTAATATTGAATAATTGAAACGATATGACTCTATAAGTATAAGCTATAGGTCTACCTCTAGTTTACTGAGCATCAAATGACATTTATCTGATTCTTGTTAGCATTGTCTTATGTACTAGATAGACACTGGTGCAGAATGGGTCCCTTGTATCTGATGCTTGTTGTAAGAACTGACCACTGAATATTTGTTGGATATAATATGTGACCTGGATGTCTTACATGTCATAGTGTTGCTTACTGGTATAAAACATAACTCACTCACTGAACATTTTTTTGATGTTATGGACCAGTGTAGCTTGAAATGATCATACCCACAGACTACAATAGCTTATTAGATTTTCATAAAAAGTGTGCCTCATCCTTTTTTAAGATATTATTGCATTATATAAGGCCTCTCTTGACAGTAAGTGCTGAAGCTTGTAAAGCCTGTAAAACAGGAATGTTTTGTGACATTGTGTGTACTTATTGCATCAGTGAAACAGACATTTAAATATTTCCTTTCCTTTATCTTGAGAAATAACATGATGTGAGGAAAGTTGGTAAATTAACTAAAAAAGTAATCTGTTATCAGTTGTAATGTCCCTGTCCTCCACCATATAGGACCTTGACAAAAGGCTGATATATTGGTTGATGTGGAGTTTACTAGTGTTGGGAATTGGTAGAAATCTCAAAATTAATGTTTGGTTCATTACCAACGAGCAATCATCGAAAAAAATTGGTTAGCATCATTTTTCAGGTTTTCCTATTCAAGTTGTTATTGCAGATAAGTGTAAAGAAAAATCTTGTTGTTCTCTGTTTTTTTTGTGTGTTTTATATAGAAACTGCGCAAATTGCATTGGCGAATTTCACATCCAGTGTAAAATGGTGCAACTTGCTACTTTAAAGTGATGACTATTATATCATGAAGTTCAGAACATAAAGTTCCCAGTATCTTCAAGAAATATTCGGGGTGGTGGGGTAGCCTAGTGGTTAAAGCGTTGGCTCGTCACGCTGAAGCCCCGGGTTCGAATCCCCACTTGGGCACAATGTGTGAAGCCCATTTCTGGTGTACCCCGCCGTGATGTTGCTGGAATATTGCTAAAAGCGGCGTAAAGCAAAACTCAGTCAGTCAGTCAGTCAGTCAAGAAATATTCAGTCATGACTTTTCAGCAAGTCAAGTGAGTTTTGTAGGAATTAAACACGTTGTCAGGCCCTGACAACTTCTAAGATATATCCTTCGTCAAGTATTTCAAACACCAAAGCAGTAGTTGCAGAATCGTTTGTGTTCGATTATGAGAAAATGTGATCAATTGCTTGGTCGCTTGGTCACTGCGACCAATCTTTGATTATTTCAATCAGTTGGAACACCACTAGAGTTTACCCACCACTTTGGCATGTCTTGTCTTGTGACTCGGCATGAAGGAAACGGTGGCAGATCAAGCTACCATAGCAGCTGTCTATCCAACTGACCCCAGGTCAGCAGCTGGAGGTTGTCTTGCTATGTTAGAACAGCTGACACACTAACACTGGCAGTAACAGATTGGGGACCTGAGCAGGCCCAGAATAATCTATGCTTGTTTAAGTTACACATTTCTGTCGCTGAAACATCTTACACGCTTGGAGCAGCACAGAAAACAGATGCATTTCAAGAAGAATTATGCTTAGTGTAAATGATAAAAGAATACTCTGTAGTAGAATTGGCTATCATGATTTCCAGGCTATTACCACATTAATCTCATTAAACTCTGAGCTTTGTGCTTACTTTTGTTGTACAAAGATATGAGGACATCCCATTTCAGGTCACGTCACAACCTTTCATCTGACCATTAAGAGCAACACTTACCGAATCAGGAAAGTGACTGTTGAAAAATAACTTGTTTGAGTGGCATTTTTAGAAGTTGAGACGTACAATATGGAACAAGTTTTTATGGATAACAACTTCTTTATTTCGTGAGTGCGATGTTTCGATACAGATTCTTGTACCGTTGTCAAGAATCTGTATCGAAACGTCGCACTCACGAAATAAAGAAGTTGTTATCCATAAAAACTTGTTCCATATTGTTGAAAGATACTCGCTAATGATGCAAGCAGTTATATGCTGAACGTCTGATCCATCTCTGGTTTCAGTGAGATAAACGTTTGAAGCATTTTTGACTTTGCATTGCCACAGGGAAATGCCGCCATACCAACTTGGCCATCGTGTAAACATGGCAGAATGTTCTTTGTTCATTTTTCAAATTTTGAATCATGAACTTCATCAAAGTATCTTCAAATCGTTGTTTGGAATTGAAATCACTAGGTTGAAACTAATGCTTCAGAAAGCTGCTTTCTGATTAGCTAATCTTCATTGGCCAGCCAAATATCATGAAGGTCACTTGACTTGACTTGTAATGGGATTTGCCCAGATCTCTGTTGAAGCAGTAGTGACCACAAAGATCTGAGTGAGATTGATTTCCACATGCCCTGCTCACATGTGGCTTCTCTAGAACACCTAAATTGCACAACTTACATGATATATATACCTACTTATATTAATATATATTTACTTATGTTACCGCACTAACAATGCTAACAGATGGCACCTGCTTTAACAAAAGCAACTTGCACAATGTTAGGGAAGCAGAACTGATGATGAAGATGTATGATGTGTTTATAGAATCAGTCGTTGAAGAAAATGATAAATTGTTCATCCTTGTCCTTATCATGCTTAGGATTGTCAGTTTATTAAGTATGAGTTTTCATTAATGTCAGTGATGTATTTTCTCTGTGGATGCCTCCAGATGATGATAGTTAGTTAGCATATAGTGGCAAAGGCATTAAAAGCTTCCAGTTCAACTGACAACATGGGTGCAGTTAATGCATTAGCCTGAAACAAAACAACAAACAAACGATTTTGATCCTTGATTTAGCTGGAATATTGCTGACTGCAATGATAAGCACCACTCACTCACTCCCAATCACCAAACGTTTTAAACCAAGATGTCAGTCATTTCCTCCTTGTTATTTGGAGGCAGACCAGACCTTTGTGTGTTGTCATGTTGTCTAAATATGACACAGTCTGGCGTGCAGTGTGTGTGTGGATGGACATAATTCTCTTTTCAGATTTGTCACACATAAAGAAATTTATGTGTGTTCAAATCTTGGTTCTCCACAATAATGTTTCTAGGTTAATCAGCCCAGTACCTGTGTTGCTGGTTAACCAAAGTGGTAAATGTTGGTGACCTGCTTCACAGCGGCATTCACAGAGCTGACATGGTTGTGACACTGGAATATTATTATTATTGGATATTTATATAGCACACATATCCATGCAACTAGTGCATGGTCAAGGCGCTGTTTTTTTTTACCTCGATAAGAGGATGTCAATCTCAACGGCACATCGTATTATAAATCTCAACTTCCTGGGGAGTATACAACTCTTGTAGCCACCAGGCGCACCGAGTTATTGTGGCTTTCTCATCCTAACGAGGTACTGTGCATAGCAGAATTAAACCTAACTTAATCTTACTTACTGGTTTGATGTGTGACTAGATACTGATGAAAAAAGGGTGATTAGATGCCAGTCTGATAGTTGACTAGATACTAGATGCTGATTGGATAGATCTTTATTGGATAGTTGACTAGATTTATCAGATGTCTGCCTAGATTTTGAATCATTTTCTTGGCACTGAAAGGCAAGAAAAGTTGTACAAGATTTTATAAAGTGATATCTTATCAGATGCATAATGGTGTCCCTGTCCCACAGAGTGGTTTGTGTGCTGTGACCTTGAGGCTAACATTAAGATATTTTCATAGACAGGGCTTTGATGATAATGCTAAGATCCTTTTGATCCTTTTCATAGACAGGGCTTTGATGATAATGCTAAGATCCTTTTGAGGGACAAGGCTTTCAGGTTAGCACTTACGTTATTTTGAGGAACAGAGACTTCTAGTAAGTGCTGTGATCAGTTTCATGGACAGGTTCTTAAAGGTTAATGCTAAGATCATTTTGAGAGACATTTCCTTGAAGTTAGTGCAGCTATTACTTTGAGGACCAGGCCTGAAAGTTAGTGGCAAGTTTTGCTTGATGGGGATCTGAGGTAGATCATAGAATACATTGTGAGGTGGGCCCCAGAGCTTAGGCTTCACATGTCGGCTGACTTCACATACTTCATGGAACTGAGGTAGATCATAGAATACATTGTGAGGTGGGTCCCAGAGAGTAGGCTTCACATGTCGGCTGACTTCACAGACTTCATGGAACTGAGGTAGATCATAGAATACATTGTGAGGTGGGTCCCAGAGAGTAGGCTTCACATGTCGGGCTGACTTCACAGACTTCATGGAACTGAGGTAGATCATAGAATACATTGTGAGGTGGGCCCCAGAGCTTAGGCTTCACATGTCGGCTGACTTCACAGACTTCATGGAACTGAGGTAGATCATAGAATACATTGTGAGGTGGGTCCCAGAGAGTAGGCTTCACATGTCGGCTGACTTCACATACTTCATGGAACTGAGGTAGATCATAGAATACATTGTGAGGTGGGTCCCAGAGAGTAGGCTTCACATGTCGGCTGACTTCACAGACTTCATGGAACTGAGGTAGATCATAGAATACATTGTGAGGTGGGCCCCAGAGCTTAGGCTTCACATGTCGGCAGACTTCACAGACTTCATGGAACTGAGGTAGATCATAGAATACATTGTGAGGTGGGCCCCAGAGCGTAGGCTTCACATGTCGGCAGACTTCACAGACTTCATGGAACTGAGGTAGATCATAGAATACATTGTGAGGTGGGTCCCAGAGCGTAGGCTTCACATGTCGGCAGACATCACAGACTTCATGGAACTGAGGTAGATCATAGAATACATTGTGAGGTGGGTCCCAGAGAGTAGGCTTCACATGTCGGCTGACTTCACAGACTTCATGGAACTGAGGTAGATCATAGAATACATTGTGAGGTGGGCCCCAGAGCTTAGGCTTCACATGTCGGCTGACTTCACAGACTTCATGGAACTGAGGTAGATCATAGAATACATTGTGAGGTGGGCCCCAGAGCGTAGGCTTCACATGTCGGCAGACATCACAGACTTCATGGAACTGAGGTAGATCATAGAATACATTGTGAGGTGGGTCCCAGAGAGTAGGCTTCACATGTCGGCAGACTTCACAGACTTCATGGAACTGAGGTAGATCATAGAATACATTGTGAGGTGGGTCCCAGAGAGTAGGCTTCACATGTCGGCTGACTTCACAGACTTCATGGAACTGAGGTAGATCATAGAATACATTGTGAGGTGGGCCCCAGAGCTTAGGCTTCACATGTCGGCAGACTTCACAGACTTCATGGAACTGAGGTAGATCATAGAATACATTGTGAGGTGGGTCCCAGAGAGTAGGCTTCACATGTCGGCAGACTTCACAGACTTCATGGAACTGAGGTAGATCATAGAATACATTGTGAGGTGGGTCCCAGAGCTTAGGCTTCACATGTCGGCTGACTACACAGACTTCATGGAACTGAGGTAGATCATAGAATACATTGTGAGGTGGGTCCCAGAGCGTAGGCTTCACATGTCGGCAGACTTCACAGACTTCATGGAACTGAGGTAGATCATAGAATACATTGTGAGGTGGGTCCCAGAGCGTAGGCTTCACATGTCGGCAGACTTCACAGACTTCGTGGAACTGAGGTAGATCATAGAATACATTGTGAGGTGGGTCCCAGAGAGTAGGCTTATCATGTCGGCAGACTTCACAGACTTCATGTTCTGATGTTGTGTTGCTTCTTCATATGTCAGAACACACTGTCTTCACCAAAATGCTTAGTGTTTAGTTGTATCTTTACACAGGTCTGACACCAAAAGACATGTAACTATTTGATTGTTCTTCAGTTTGTAACAGTTTACATGTAAGCACTTTCTGTGTCCATATAGTTTTGTCACTGTGCACTATGATAGAAACAAATATCAAACAAAGTTAGTTGCAAGTTATATTCCATGTCTGTTATTAAAATGCATTAGTTATGTGGATAAAACTTAATTTATAAGAATAGTAGTCGTGTTTTTGACAATACATTTGAGCCTCTCTTGTCAGAAGTTTTGTGAACTATTGCCCAGAAATGTACATGACTGAAATACTGGAGGTAAAGCGTCATAATTCAGAATTTACTTTAATTTTTTAATTAAAGCTATAAAGAGTTCTTACTTTTGTTTGATAATGTTTGTCTACTTTAACTCTGTAAGGAATCCTGGTCCTTACAGAATGTATTTTGAAAGCTAAAGCATGTCATTATTGTAAATCTATTTTCTATTCTTGCTATCTTTGTAAGATGTTTTTGGTTTTGTTAACCATTTTGTCAGTGAATTCTAAGTGTATATTCATCATTTGTTCCTGTTTTAGTGTGGTGTTAAGTATAAACCTTGTGACAACTGTTTTGTGTAAATTTGAGACAAATGAAGCAAATCTTTAACCAGGGAGTAAAAGAGAATTCATGACTGAAATTTGTTTTGGGTCAACCTCTATCATTGTCAGAGTCTGAAATATTTTGAAAGTATGTTACAATAAAATTCTGACTTTCAGAGAAAATTGTAACATCATTCATGGTGATACATCTCAGTAAAAACATTTTACAAGACTAGCAAGAGTAATGATCATTTTATTGTTTAAATCATGATTTAATAATAATAGTAATAAACTTCCAATAAATTTATTCGTGTTTGTGTTCAGTGATGAGGTATTTACCATTAGGTTCACATATGTAGCATAAGTTTTATCAGTTACAGGTGTTAAGTTATTGTTTGTTTTTGAATGAACTTCACCACGTAAATGTTTATTTCAGACTTTGACAAGTTCCTTGCGGACCGAGCCTCTGCAGCGACGGATGTGCCGAGCATCTCCGCAGCTACTGGTCAGCAACAGTCCCGTGCTGCTCCCAGGAGTAATCGACAGTTGCAGAAAGAAGAGGAGGACAACCCATTGTTTGCTTTATGAAGTCACAGCTTTGTCCGTCACCGTTAACATGTACCTTGGTTGGTCACGACACTGAATCAGACACAAATGTTTAGGTCATTTAAGAAACTAACTGCTAGACGTCTAACCTCTTTGGATGCTGTGAATCTCCTGTATTGTTGGTCTGTAGCCCAACAGTTAATGCATCCACTTGCCATGCACTCAAGACCATGTTCTATTCTTTGTAAGTCATTTTGCAATACCGGAACCTACTTTTTGACAGTACTTGTGAGCCAATTAGCTAAGATGGTATGAAATCCTCATCAGATCATGCTTTGATATTGCTGATAGTTCCAAAAATGTTTTCTTCTAAAATAAATTTTGTACTATTTTGAGGAAATGGTGACAAAAGGATTAAGACTTGTGGTCTAGGTGTTACACTTGAACAAAGAACCTTAGTGTATGTAGTTTGTAGATTTGTAAAATGTGAAATTTATTTTGACATACTAAGTATGTCAGACATAAGGACACCACACAGTCTAGTGGATAATGAGCACATCTGTTGAAAGAATGTTTCCATTGTGTTGTGGTTGTTGATGGGAGGTGTTTGCATTGTTACGTGTTGACATCAACATGGCGATAAAATTGTACTGCATACAGAATATTTTTTATGCCAGAATCTGAATTGACCATAGTTAGGATCAAGAGCTGAATTACTAAATCAGAATATATCTGATTTTAAACATTGTGTAAATTTATGTGTTAAGTATGATATTGATGAGTTCAGATAGTTTACGCGTGTAAATATTGAAGTCTGCATTCTTTAAAAACCTGCGATTTCTTGTTGTGGTATCTATCTTGTATGGTATGGTATGTGTATTTGACTAACACAACTCCCCCCTTGTTTAAGCTGTTGTCATTATCATTCAGCTTGTCACAAAATGAAATAATTAAGTTGTTATTTTTATCTCATCACAATGATGTGTTTTTGGTATGTTACACAGTAATGTCAAGACACTCTGTCACAAGCGCGCTACAGTTCTTTGAATTGAGGTTTGACAGCTGAGAAAGCCTCGATATTCAACCTTTGACATATTTCACAATGTGTGAAATGCATTTCTGGTGTCCCGCGCCGTGATATTGCTGGAATATTCCTAAAAGCAGCGTAAAACCCAACTCACTCACTTACTATCGAGAAAATCAATGCCTCTGGTTTTGTTCTGTTTCATCGTACATGTCATATTTTAACTCTTTTTCTATTTTATTCATACTAACAGCTGGTAATGCTGGTTAAGGGATTACATTGGAAAGCAGATGTTGACAATTTAGGGAGAACACAATAATATTTTTGACACTACTTGTAAAGAATGAACTCATATGATACAGAATGATTTGAACAGTGCCACAAATATTCACTGATTCAGCTTCAGGTTTAATGGCACAACTTGCCCCACAGCTATCCCGAGTAATGGCACTGCAGATACAATGTTCAACTGACTGGTTGAAAGCTTGGTTTGGTGGATCTGCTGTAAATTACCCTGGGAGTTGAAGTTGGTTAATGCATGATCTAACTAAATTCTGTTTTATCATCACAACCATCCGATGAGAGGATCTATCATTCACATACTTTTCAATGCAGTATGAGTCACATGCACTATCTTTGTCATAGTCTTTGCAAACTAGTTTAGGTACATCTTATGACATGGGTAAACAGGGGACTATGAGTTATGTCCCTTACACCCGTCAAGACCTTCTGGTTGTTGGATCAAATCTAAGATTCCAATAATTCTGAGCCTGTTTCTGTCAGTGGTACGCCATTATATTAATGAGTGTGGCCATTTAGAACCAGGTGTACTTGGTAAACATCCGCTGGCTTTCAAAGGTATCAGACAGATGACATACAAATTTCCTTACTAGAAAGGTTATCAGCAATTGATATCTATGAAACAATACAATTGTGCAGATCAATGCTCATGCTGTTGATCACTGGATTGTCAGGTCCAGACTCGATTATTTACAGACAGCCGCCATATGGCTGGAATATTGCTGAGTGGCGGCTTAAAACTAAACTCACTCACTATGAAACAATATGACTATCTTGAAGACACTTGTACTTTGAAAATCTGTATATATATACCTAAACCACCAAAATGCTGGAACTGTTACCTTGCCAAATAGTTCTTTGGTAGATTTTCCACAAATTGAAGTTAGAAATATTTTTATAGACTATTGTAGATGGGCAGGAATATTCTTCTTATATTTTCAAGGTAGCCAATAATCTACAACTGTTCATGAAATGAGTTTGAAAATTTTCCTTTGTTTATGTAATAATAGGACAGTATAGTACACATTGAAATATTGAAAATATTTTTTTATTTTTTCGTTAAACTATTGTTTAGTTTTGGCTTTGTTGCAATATATTTGACTGTCCTGGTGCTTTTGGAGGGGTTATTCTTTTGACAAGGATTTATTTTATGTAACAAGTAACATATCTGGAATTTTTTTGAAATTTTTCTTGAATCAATTTGGAAATTTCTATTCTGACCATCTTTTCTATTTGTGCATATTGTGATCATTCAGGCAGATAGCAGTCTTCAGATTCTCACCTTTTGATAGTGTTGAGATATTCTGTTACCATTTGGTAATTTAATATGGCCTAACCAGCCTATGTTATCTGAATCAGATACACTTAGAGTTTATAGGGAAAACAGCCTGGCAAATTATGATTGGTTCACCCAAAATAAACATGGATACCAGGTATTTACAAAAGGGGTAAAGGTCCTGTCCTACCATTAGCATCTGCCACTCAAACATTATGTAATAATTCAAGCTTCTGTTATTTAAATATATCATTAAATATGTTTGTTTTAATCTTTTTTCCCCATATGAATACAGGTTTTAATCGATATTGAATTGGCCATGCTTTCACATATGCCTTTACCTGCCCACATGGCTTTGGGCTGCAAAGCATGAAACTAGAGTTGCTATTCGCTCATACGTAATGTATAACGTTAAATAAGTCTTGGCTGATCTTATATACAAGCTGTACCTTATCTTGCTCAAGGTAACAATCGTGTATTGCAGGAATTAACTGACAGTGTATTACTTTGATTATTTTGTTGTGTTATTCTGTTAATTATGTAGTTGCAGTTAGTATTTTAACTATCAAGAAATAAGTATTTCACCTTTTTATACATATAACATTTGTTATACATAATGTATTTTTGAGTAGTTTTGTGCATGTGAAATTATTTATGAACGCTCTTGTTATGGACTTGATCTCACTTACTTGGAAGCTTCTAATGTTGTAACTGTTGCTGATGCAGAGCTGTCTGTATGCCTGTAACAAATTATTAAGAATATTTCATCACTACCTGCTATACTTCGAAACACTGTTGGGGCAGTGGGGTAGCTTAGTGGTTAAAGCGTTTGCTCGTCACACCGAAGACCCGGGTTCGATTCCCCACATGGGTACAATGTGTGAAGCCCATTTCTGGTGACCCAGCCGTGATATTGCTGGAATATTGCTAAAAGCGGCATAAAACTAAACTCACTCACTTACTCAAAACACTGCCTCACATAGTAGCTTTGTCCTCAAGTACCTGGGGATAAAGAAAATTACTTATGTGTTCGTTTACGTCTATGCGGAACAAAGAAGGAATCATGGATATTTTTAGAGATGCTTTTTAGTAATTATGTGCTCAGTCTCAGCTGCCAAAAATATCTCCCAAGTATTCACGGTCCCTAATTTTACTCAGTCTGCCTAGTTGTACCAAATATCCATGATTGATCTGAATCGGTCGACAGTTACTGTGTACATGTCTTAAAGTTTGTGTAAAGCAAAAGAAGACAGGAAAGTATAGAATTCCCACTGCTTTCAAAATTTACACATATTTTAAATATGAGGATGAGTACTAACTAATTGATTTACTATGGCCAAGCATTCCAGAGAGCATTAGGATGGTTTGGTTGTCAACTTCAGAAGAGATAGGATACTCCTCAGCTTCTAAATGCCAATCAAACAGATCAGCTGAGAAGAGTTATCATGTCCTATTTTTAGGGAAGAGTATTGCCAGTTACATTTGTCTTACAGTTTATAGCAAAATGCAGTGACTATTGTTACCAAATGGGTTTCACAGGTATGACGTGGTACATTCATATGACATGGTATGACTGAAATACTGTTCAAACCTGGTATAGACCAAACCCACTTACTTACGACTGACAGTAATCATTATATATCAGCAATATTGTATTCTCTCTTTAGATTTGACTTGTATTGTAGATTCTGTAGGAGTATGAGGAACAGATTTACATCACTGTACTTACTCGTTGCTTTGTTACCACCTGAATTTACCTCCTCCCCCTCTCATACATGCATGCATACGCAACACCACAAGTAGCAACACCCACAGAGCAACACAACACAACACCACACAGAGCAACACACACACAAGAGCAAAAGACACACAACACACACACAGCACACACAACACACACACCACACACAGCACCACACACACAACACACAAAACACCACACACAGCAACACACACAACACCACACAGAGCACACACACACACCACACAGCACCACACACAGCACCACACAGAGCACACACGCACACCACACAGAGTAACACACAAAAACACCACACAGAGCAACACACACACAACACACACACAGCACACACACAACACCACACAGAGCAACACACAACACACACAAAACACCACACAGCAACACACACAACACCACACACAACACACACAGGCACACACACACAACACACAAAACACCACAGAGCAACACACACTCACACCACACCACACAGAGCAACACACACACACACCCCACACAGACACACACACAACACCACACAGAGCACACACACACAACACCACACAGAACAACACATGCTCACACAGCACCACACACACACACACACCACACAGAGCAACACATGCTCACACAACACCACAGAGCACCACACACAACATCACACAAGCAACAAGAAGAACAACACACACACACACACACACAGAGATATAGTCACTCACAGAAACACAGACACAGACAGACAAGACAGAGACTATTAGCTGACCATCCTTCTGTGGCCACAGAACATGGTCTTCACCACTATACCCTGAATTGTATCCATAATGTATGGTAGTTGTTGCTTCTGCAAATCATTGGTAAATTTAATAAGGAAATAAGCCTTTGTTTATTTACTTTGAATTTTTGTAGATTTAATATATTACGGTTCATATTTTGAGATTCAATATTGTCATTTTGGACCAAATGTATTTCAAATGACCGGATATTAGATTTCATTTTAGCATGAGCACTGGGGCTTCTGTTTCAGATGAGTCACTGTATTTCCTCAGTAAGTTTAAGTTTGCATACCATTGCCACAGATTCGATTGGATAACTTGCTTTCCCATGAATCCCCAGAGGTACTTTCTGATTGATATTATCCTGACTGTTCCACCAGTTTGTCAATATTTACCTGGGCTACTACTGACCCTGGGAAGTATGATGTTTTATGCATGTATATTTCAGAGCATGTATAACCTTGGTGGTATGTGTACAGTTACCATGGAAACAGCTGCCATGTTGTGTACAGTTCTCCTTTGTTTTGATGCTTTCTTCTGACGATACATAACAAGTATTTTTTACGTTGGAAAAGAATCGCTTCGATGATTTTCGAGTCAGTTGTGTATATTTAAGCAGGATTTGTTTTGCAAATGTATACATATTTCATGTAAATTGCACTTAAATTGTATGGTAAAATATTGACAAATGACAATTTGTAAAATAAAGTACAAACTTGTGAATAAGAAATGGTCTTTTCATTTTTTGATGTCAGTTATCATTATATCTAGTGGTTAAAGCATTTGCTCATGTCGCAGGCCCAGGTTCGATTCCCCACATGTGTACTATGTGTGTAGCCCATTTCTAGTGTTCCCCATGGTAATATTGATGGAATATTGGTAAAAGCAGCGCACAGAGGTCACAAATCAGATGAAAATACACAATGTTGGTGGTGGAAAGTATAGCTTATGTTATATATTTGAGTAAACTTTCATAGTAAAGTACCAATTCTAGTACCAACCAAAAGGTTGAATCCCATGCAGGAATTTGAACTTAGACTCTCAGAGTCAGACACCAAATCACCAGCACACAAAGTCAGCAATCTAACCCACTCAAGACACCATGTTCCAAAGTACTCATTCATTTTGTGAGGCGGTGGGGTAGTCTAGTGGTTAAAGCGCTGGCTCGTCACGCAGAAGAGTGGGGGTTCGAATCCCCACATGGCATACAATGAGTGAAAATCATTTCTGGTGTGGGGTAGCCTGATATTGCTGGAATATTGCTCAAAGCGCGTAAAACCAAACTCAGTCCCCACATGGGCAGTCATTCATTTTGTACATGACATGCAGTGGGTCACCGTGATTGTGCTGGAATATTGAGTAAAAGGGTCCTAAAACATTGTGCATGCTTCAGCCATAAAAATCACCATCTCCTCCCCCTTGCAATAGATTATGAATGATCCCTTAGAAATAGTTGATAGCATTTAACCCAGTAAGTGGTCAAACGGAACATTAATTGCTTTCCAAACAGAAGGACTAGAAGTAATGTCCACAATGAGAAGCGGTTTTAGTTGTCTTGTTGAGGTTCAGTATTGGTAATGTCAACAATAACGTCCAACTAGCTTGGAACAGATGGAACTTCAATATCACTTCTGCCCACAATGGCTGTCTTCGATTACTTACACGCCACCGTCACAGTGTTGGATATTTCAGCGTTAGCTCATTATAAGATAATCAGATGTACTTTCAGGAATTGCAGAAGCCATATGAAAGGTTCATTAGGCTGTGTTTGAGAGTACACAAAACCGACATCCACTTTGTAACCTGATGCTGTTAACCACACTATCTATTGATATTCCATTTGTGTACGTGTGACATGAGTGGTGATTACCATTTGTGTACTGTATTGTACGACATGTTTCCAGTGGTGATTACTACAAGCTTAAAACTACACATACCTTATACTGGTGCAGGTTGTATTGTACGTTTACGAGGAATGTCATTAAGTCATCAAGTTTAGGAGGGTGGGATAGCGGTGATTACTATAAGCTTAAAACTACACATACCTTATACTGGTGCAGGTTGTATTGTACGTTATGAGAATGTCATAAAGTCATCAAGTTTAGGAGGGGGGTGGGATAGCGGTGATTACTATAAGCTTAAAACTACACATACCTTATACTGGTGCAGGTTGTATTGTACGTTATGAGAATGTCATAAAGTCATCAAGTTTAGGAGAGGGGTGGGATAGCGGTGATAAAAGCGTTCTCTCTTCACACCGAAGACCCGGGTTTAATTCCCTGCATGGGTATAATGTGTGAAGCCCACTTCGGAGGTACCCCGCCGTGATATTGCTGGAATATTGCTCAAAGCGACAAAACACTAGAATCATTCTTATTTTAGGTCATTATGTACCAATGGGCTTTTAACATGACATAAATATTGTTCGTGGGGTGGTGCTCAATGAAAGACTGAAAATTCTAACAAAGTTGTGGACAAATTATTTGTCTTGATGAAGTGTATGAAAAATTTCCAACACAAACACCAAGACATCAATAAGTGCCACTAAATCGATTATGTACATGATATATCGCACCCTTAAAAGATTCAACCACATCGCTTATGACATTTGCTTCCTTTTCTTATGGGGCGGTGGAGTAGCCTTGGGGTAAAAGCGTTCGCTCGTCTCATTCGTCACGTGGGCACAATGTGTAAAGCCCATTTCTGATTTCCCCCGCCGTGATTGCTAAAAGTGGCTTGAAACCTTGCTAACTCATTTTCGTAACTTCATTTTGATTTCTCATTCTAAACATGTTGATTTGCTTCTGTTCCATTGTATGGCTTTGGCGTATTTTGAGCAACGGTTCTCGTTTTCAGGGACGTAATGATAAATTATTGGTAACTTTTGATGGAATATAACATCTGTCTATCCCGAAATAACAATGTTGATTCCTATTTTGATGATTTCGAACATCACGCGTGATAATTACATGGGTAGTATCCCATATTTGACAGCGTCTTGGTCACTGATCCGTAAAGGTGTGAGGTTTCGCTGTCAAAATCGGGACTATATTAACACTTCTAAATGCCCATCAAAGATTTAACTTACTTCCAGAGAGTTCTTTCAGAGGCATAGGAACTTGGAACTTGGGTTCTGGAAGTCAGAATTGGGCCTGTCAACATCGGGACTAAACTATTACATTCACCTAGGAGTGAGTGAGTGAGTTTGGATTTACGCCGCTTTTTTGCAATATTCCAGTAATATCACGGCGGGGGACACCAGAAATGGGCTCCACACATTGTACCCATGTGGGGATTCGAACCCGGGTCTTCGGCGTGACGAGCGAAAGCTTTAACCACTAGGCTACCCCACGGCCCAAACTTAAAAGAGAGGACTATACAAAAAGGCTTCCATCCAGGCCTCTCCATATTACGATTACTTCAGCAACGATGACCTTGTGGAAGTTACAAAAACAACCACAGTCGTTTACTCCCTCTTGTCAACTCATTAGATTTGTTCTTGTTCGCTACATAAATCAGAACTCGTAAAGATCCGGGTTAAAACTGATCTTCAGTAATCCATGCATGTTGTGAGAGGCGACTAGCGGTCAGGCTCGCTGACCTTTTTGACACAATGTCATGTCATCGTATCCCAATCGGGTAGATCGATGCTCATGTATTTGGATTGTCTAGTCCAGACTCGATTATTTACAGACTACCGCCATATAGCTTGAATATTGCTGAGTGCAACGTTAAAACCTAACAAACAAACAAACAAAAACACATATTTTTTTTGCATAATTCCCTGTTTATTTGAGACATAGCACACAAGCAAACACATAGATATTGTAACAAATATTGTTATACACATAATCTCTTATCTCAGTGGTTGGACAAAGTAACAAAAATAACCATTAATTTGAAATAAGATTGAAATGTTATGAATAAAATGATTGTGTGTAACAGAGGTTAGGAACAGATAGGGATGTCACACAAAAAGCTCCCAAAATATACAAACATTGTCTACGTTACATATGACAGTTTAAACTCCAATTCTATACCATTTATATACAATTAGAAACATATATTATTTTCTTTTCATCAGAAATGAACATGGTGGCAGTATAACATTTGTTCATTTGTTAAATGACTAATTATATATACATAAGTATGCAGTTGCTGGTTTGATGAACACATCTGACATGATACCTGAACGGTATGAACCATTCTAGCCATACTACAAATTGTTGTCCGCATCGATATTTCAAACAGGAAAAAGAGCATTATGTTGAATCATTTTCACCAAAGGAATATTTATAGTCTTAATATTTCGACAGAACCTGATTGCTTGAGTGCCAAGCTTGTTTGCAGTCCAGCTGTACGGTAAGCAGACGGGTGCATCTTTTGTGTAGGCTGTGATATTCATGGTGATGGAGATTTAGATATATCTATTGAAGGTTTTCACCTCGAAAAATGAAAGCGTCGCATACTGCATACGGCTTACGAACGGGTGAATATCTCACACTGTTAGATAAGTAGGATCAAGAGAGCAACGATACAACCCACATTGAGGAACATGAAGAGTCTCAGACAGAAGGCATCAAGCACAAGAGAAACATCCTTCCACTCCACCCTGTCATCAGATTTCTCTCTTTCGCCGTTATGTCCTGAAGGCTTCGTCATATCTAATGTATCTTCCTTCTTTGTTTTGTTCCGAGAACAGCATATCTTGGCAGTGACCCATCTTTGCAATATTAAAGGTACTTCATCGGTCCTTCGATGCACCCTGAGGATGAGGATTGACATTGCCACAGCAAGGGAGCTGAGAGTGAGGAGGGCGGTGAGGTAGATGGTGAGGTATGACGTCTGTAGGGATGTCCTGGGCATTTCGTTGGTCATCTGACTCAGGAACACTGTGAAAGCGAGCAGAACTGTCATGGAGAAAGCCGTTTTGTCTCCGTGCTCTATAGGCAGAGCGAACACCAGGAAGCTGAGAAGGGATAACAGCGTGATGGGGATTATCAGGTTGAAGACATAGAGTGAAGGTCGGCGCTTTAAGGTGATGGTAATGCGAAGGAAAGGGTATCCGTCCATTACAATTTCCCCAGATATATCTTTCAGTATCCACAATGAATTTCCTTCTTGTGAATAAGCAGTCAAGGATCTATTTTTCTGAGGTAGAAATCGAACTTTGTCCGATTCTGTATACCAGGAGGTGAGTGATATGTTACAGGCCTGTGTGTCAAACGGAAAATAGGAAACATCGAAGTCACACATCGTCGTGAACAGATCACCATGACCCCAACGTACTAATCCAGTGCTATGTACGTATACAAGGCCAGGTTGTTCCCAAAACATCGTTCTTTGGGTGACGGCGTTAATAACTGTTAAGTCAGGAACCCATACACTATCAGTAGACAGAAACAGATAATCTTGTTCATCGAAGTCTGAGCTGTTCCATTTCAGTGAGTCATCCATCCACTCCAAGAGAAAATAGCCATTGGTGACCATTGCCTGCTGCAACTCGTTCATTTCAACTAATTGCATCAAACGAAATTGAACATTGATGTCAATTACTTCTTTGACTTTACGAGGAAACACAAATCGATTGTAATCATTAGATAATTGCTTCACAAGTCTGTGCTGTTCCTCAATCATGTTGCAATTCATCTGTGTAAGAAAGACAAAGAATAATGTGAGCGAAACGAATACAAGATAAGTCATCTCGGCAGTAATATATCTTTCTCCCTAAGCGCACATCGATGCCATGTCTGACCTCCGCCTGTTCGTCATGCGCAATCTTCATTTAATGATGTAAGATGCTATTTGCAAACAACCAACATTGCTTTCAACGAGATCCATTTAGAATTATACGTTCTGTAACAGAAACACACCTACAGACATTAATAACTAGCCGTACCCCTATACCCCTACTTAGCGTCGTGGACCAGTTGTTTGTGAAGCAATTGTGAACAAGATAATGTATACAACGTGCGAGTGAAAATCCATTTAGGCTTTCATAGAATAGAAAAGATAGCCAAATATTACGTCCCTGACAACCGGTAAGCCAGAATACGTCAAATGCATATAATGGAACAGATAAATCAACCTATATACCCTTGGGGAAAAGTTAAGCAACCCCGGTAATTCTGAATGAAAGCTGTCACTGTGTGAGAACGGTGTGACCTAGTTTTGTCATCTATAAATACGTGTCTTGTAGTAAGATGATGATTATCAAAATGGAGGACAGCAATTATCAAAATAGAGGACCTTTGGATCCAACACTTCCGGGATATACTGATCACCTGTCACAGTCCTCCAAACTCTTAATCGTCCATCAGTTACATGAAGAAGGAATCAGCTTTCATCAGACCAATGTAGTCTTCGCCAAGTCTCAGATTCTAGTGTTGCCATGGTAATCACCAAGCCAAGCGTGATTGTTGGTGATGATCGTTAAGTAGAAGACGTTTGATGAACTGTACCCGGCTCTCCTTAGGCGATTCTGGATTGTTCAAGATCGTTGAGACGCCGAAATGGTAACCAGTGGTGCTTCAGAAAAGTGCTTGTGACGAATGGTTGTCGTCGAGCGAGCCTCAATAGAACCCTGCCTTCACGATCTGACGTCGCGGTGGAAGTCGCGGTAGCTGAGTGGGTTAGGCGACTGACTTTGTTTGCTGGCGATTAGGTAGGTGCCTGGCTCTGAGGGTGTGGGCTCGAATCCCGGATGGGACTCAACACAACAAAAAAGTTCTAGAATCTGTACTTTACTTAGAAAGTGTAATCCCAAATATAACATATGCTACATTTGACCACTTTCTAAATGGCATTGTGCAATCAGAGATGTATAATTATGAGAATATCTATAATGAGAACATTTATATTGCGCCATTTCCAGGCTAGAAAATAGTTTCTAATTCAAAGTGGGGAAGGGATCAAACTACCCTCCTCCACCTATATGGGTCATTGGTCCGTTCCAAACTTGATTATGGCTCCATTGTATATGGCGGAGCCTGCAAAAGCATTGGATCCAGGACAATATATTCTAGAATACCGGGTAACAGCTCTATTTTTACAGCAGAAGCAAACGCCATATTAACCGCTCTTAAATATATTCAAAGACACCCAAAATATATACAATATATAATCTTTTCCGACTCTCTTTCTTGCCTTCAGGCTATTAAAAATCTCTCTTGTAAACATCCACTTTTAATTGAAATTATTGAATTATGTAATGATCTTGCTACTAGCCAATACGACATCATCCTGTTGGCTACCGAGCCACGGTGACATTCCTGGGAATACAATGACCGATCTTGCTGTCAAGGCAGCACTCAACAAATCTGTGACGCCACTTCTTATCCCATAATCTGATTGTTAAGCTAGCATTAGAACTTACACCCGTGATCTGTTGCAGAAGAAGTGGGACACACAAATAGCTAGGTATAAATACATTACATGCAATAAAACCCTATATTGGTCACACCTACTTGGGTTGTCAGTCCAGATTTGAAGAAGTTATTATGCGACGATGTCGTATTGCCCGTACTAGATATACACATGGATACCTGTTAAAAGGTGATGATCCTCCGTTTTGCATCCCTTGTGATGAAAGAATCACGATCAAGCATGTCCTGCTTAACTGTATTGAATATTCCATCACGAGGGATGACTATTTCAAATCACGAACTATGAAGGATCTTTTTAATAATATCAGTTCTCATTTATTTATTGCATTTTTAAACGAAATAGATTTGTTGAATGATTTGTAAATAGGTAAATATTTTATGATTGGAACTTTAAGTTAGCTTCTCAGATTGTTGGTGGCTGTATCCTAAAAGGGGGTTAAAGTATTGTAACATTATTGTTCTCCTGAGAGGGTACGTACGTCCCAAAACATTCCCAAAACACAAGTAAATTAAAACTTTCCACTGTTTTAATCGTAGTATATGTATCTTTTTAATTTATGGCTAGATTATATAAAATTGCTAATAGCTGAAGGGATGGTGTAAATCCAGCTAGGGTCCATGCAGGAAGCAAATGTACTGTAAGTCCCCATGGTCCCTAGTATGGAGATCTACCTTCAGTTGTTGGCATTATATAGCCTGTTATTATATTGCATTGTCATTTATAGTTAGGATGTTTTAGATTTAAGTACTCGTTTTAAATTTATTTCTGTGATAATCTAGTTGTTTTACTGTCCTTTGCGGACAGGTAAGTATAATATCTAACTTTATTTTTATTCATTTATACATCTACAACTTCTTAGTCACGATATGGCTGAAATACTGCCGATGTGACTAAAACTATTAACTCACTCACACACTTCAAGCTTGACACCCTGTCAAAGCGCACAATCTTATCATTGTTACCCCGGATAACCCAAGCTGCCTGTTAGGCGCTAGAAGGTTAATAGTCTCACGACATATATTTCACCGGATACCCATTTTCTGCTGGGTGAACAGAGGCAATTTTGAACAAAATCACTTGCCTACGGCGAGACCACATGTATAATACGTGCTTCATTGTTGGGCAGGACTGAAGTCCTAGAAACTCTCAGAAGTCAAGCTGTTACACATGGTCGCCCATTCAAGAACTCTCCCCGACCAACATACGTCTGCCCACTGACATCGTCAGTCGGCGGGTGACGTCAGCAGGGATCCTGTTCCATAAGTCCAAGAGAGTTTGTTCAAGTTCCTGTCGGTTCGTTGGAGGTGGTGCATGCCGTATCGGCTGACGATCGAAATGATTCCAGAGATGTTCAATGGAGTTTATGTCTGGAGAACGCGCTGACCAAGGCAATACGTTGACGTTGACGTTGTGCAGGCATTCTCGTATAATTCTGGCCGTGCGTTGTCTCCACTGGGCTGTTGTCGTCAAAAGGCACCGCAAATGGTCTCAAACTTCATCCCCGTTGTTCTCTTGCCACAAATGCTGCCCCATACCATGACGCCTCCTCCATAGATCGGATGATCTTCTTGAACGCAGTTTGGCGCGAGTTGCTTTCCTCTACGTCGAAAAACCCGAACTCTGACATCATTCCTGAACTGACTTTCATATGCAAAGAGTACTCTCTCCCAGTCATGTCGCTACCACCGACGTACAGTTCGTGCCCATTGCAGTCTGTTTTGAAGGTGTAGACGGGTCTTTGCCATTCCAAGGAAGGGGGGTTGGCTCGTATACCAGCCATACCAAGTCGTCTGCTGATGGTGTGTGCTAGTGCTGTTACCGCCTTTGACGTCGTCGTCACGAATCTGTTCCGGAGGTGGTTCTGCCGGATGTAGCCCTCTTGGGTCGGTGTCGTGATACCTGTCTTGGGTCTGGCCTGTTTTCTGGTAGCGGTTTATCAACTTGCTAATGGTGGACTGTTTGCCTTTTAAGGTTCTTGCAATTTGACGTTGTGAAGGACCTATATTGGCCATACCGATCGCCCAGTCTCGTTGCGCTTACGTAAGATCTTGGTATATTCGTGGTTACTGCATACTTGCTCTGTCCAACATCGGTGTTTATGCAACAACCATGCAGGTTCGTGCGAATTTTTTGGCCAGCTACGATGTTAGCGGGATCATGTAGCGTTTTGGCGCATGTTTTCTGCTTGGGTTCAAACATGTACCAGCGTTTTGGGTTTTCTATGCAATTACTTTTAAAGTGATAACTTTCTCTTGCCCGGTAGTTTATATCAGAAACAGACTGGTTATGTCATGTTAAGAATGTTTCGCAAAGTAAGATATTGTTTGTAATGTTGGGAATGTGAATTTAAATTGGATTGATGATAATACAATCAAAGAGCCTAATCATGTTGATTTTGTTGGAATCACCTATAATGGAATGTGAAATATTCGATACTGGTAAATCTGCGTTCGTTGATTTGTTGTATCAGAAATGCTTATGTACTTATTACCCGATATCATGCGCTTTCCGCCAAAAGCTTCAATCGAGTATTTGATCCAGGACCTTCTGTGTATGGGCAATCTATCGTCATTCAATAATATAAGAATGGAAATGTTAACAAATCTGACAATTTTAGGATTTTGTCTCTCACTAGTATTCTTGGCAAAGCTTTTACGTCTCTTATCAACACAGAGTTACACAGTGGT